TGGCTCAAAAGTATCAGTGGTACAGAGGTAGAGTGCTGGAAAACCACGCCTCAAGTGGTCTGGGGCTCGGTCCTCCGCCAATGTACTCCTAAACCTCCCTTAGCCGGCAGCAAGCCTGATAAAGAGGGAAGGTTGGGAGTGATCTAATAACAGTTAGCTTTCAGTTATTTAGTGTTTGATTCAAACTAAGCGCCATCTACTACAGCCTAGGCAACTGGGAAGTATCATAATCCCTAACAGAATACGTGTGGCTTATAGCTTCGTATATGGGTAATTTGTTGAGGATAGCTGTGAATCCCAACAACTGTTTAGTATTCGAAACTCTGACAAGATAAATTAATTAACTAACTAACAATAAGCAGAAACAGAACATACGACAATTCAACCATGACTTTTATACGTCCAGATACCCCGTAGTTCCTGTGGTCCCCAGATTCTTTTCAGTTCTCAGTATCTCGAATACAAATCGTATCATTCTTATAGATCACTGCATGATTTGTATAGTGGAAAGATAAAGTGTTTTTTATTCAAGTGTTGGTTTGCAGGTATTTGATTTGATTGGTTTCAGTATTCGTCATGAACTGACATTGGAAAACCTTCAGGGAGTACTGAAAAACCAACTGTTTCGTCCTGGCTTTGGACTCTTCGTCAGTACTCACTCGCCGTTGTGAGTTCGAAACCAGGACCTTCCGGTCACAAGGTGAGCTCGTAGACCATTAACCCACTGGAACCCGATCCAATGGCCACTTCATGAAAGCCAACTTCTGCCAATTCACGACATGGCGCGACCACTAGCCAGTTTCATCACAGGTGAGTATTTCTCCTTACACACGACCAGCTGGATCTCACTGGTCACGACGTACCACTAGAACCTAGGTAACTAACTATCAGAATAGTGCCAGTCACTAGTGAGCATCAGATTGATATTCACGTGTGTTGGTTTGTAGGAATTTGATTGGTTACAGGATTTCAACATGATTTCATCATCAACTCTTTCTGTTACTAATTCCTGTTGAAAAATTAGTATATTAAAAATTTATATGCATATTATTGTTCCTTTGGGTTCCTAGTGGAACATAGGGCTTCAACTGCACGCCTCCACTTGCTTCTGTCTTCTGCTGTACTTTTCACTTGCATCCAGGTTAGTTCATACTGTTTCATCTCCTCCTCACACGATCTCCTCCATGTCACGCTTGGACGTCCCACTCGCCGCTTCCCTTTCGGGTTCCACTCGAGCTATGGCCTGATGCGCGATGTCACCCAACGGCCTCCTCAGCGAGTGTCCAATCCATCTCCACCTTCTCCTGCATATTTCTTGGGCGATTGGTTCTTGCTCTGTTTGTTCCCATAGTTTCTTGTCGGTGACTCTTTCCGGCCATCTGATCTTCAGTATAGAACGAAGACAGTTGTTGATAAAGGTCTGCAACAGGCTGTTGGAAATATTCTTCGTGACCCGCCAAGTTTCTCATCCGTAAAGGAAAATTGACTTGACGTTTGTATTGAAAATCCGAATTTTGTTATTGATGCTGAGTAACGAAGATTTCCAGATTGGTTTCAGGTTGATGAATGTGTTTCTCGCCTTCCCAATTCTCGATTTGACATCCTCGTCCGTTCCATGTGCCTGTAGTTGAGACAATGCTCCCTAGATAAGTGAATGAAGTAACCTCTTTCAAAGCCCTCCCGTTGATGGTGATTGGCACTGGATGTTGCTGCTGCTGTTGGTTATTTTCATGACCTCCGTCTTGTCTATGTTCACCTGGAGTCCTGTCTTTGCTGCTTCTTTGACCAGTTTGTCGGTTTTCGCTTGTAAGTCTTCGATTTTGTGTGACATCAAACATAAATCATCCACACGCGAAATCCAGGTCTTCTGGGTTCTTCACGTCGGTCCAGGATATCCCTGTCTTCTCGTTTCCCACTGTCTGACGCATAATCCAGTCCACCACAATTAGGAATATCACTGGTGATAATAAGCACCCTTGTCTGACTCCTGTGTTTACTCCAAAAGCCTCGCTGAGTTTTCCGTTGTGGATCACTTAACATGTGCCGTTGTCATACAGCTGTTGAATGAGGTTGATGAATATTTGGGGTACGCCGTAGTACTTGAGTAGTTTCCAAATGACTTCTCGGTCAACGCTGTCGAAGGCCTTCTCAAAGTCTATAAAGTTGAGGTAGAGATTTGATTGCCATTCCATGCTTTGTTCGATGATAATGTGTAGAGTTGCAATTTGGTCAGAACATGATTTGCCTTTCCTGAATCCAGCTTGTTCTGGTCGGAGTTCTGTATCCAGTGCGTCCTTTATTCTCTCCAGGATGATGCGACTCAGGATTTTACTTGGCGTCGACAGGAGCATGATTCCTCGCCAGTCCTTGCAGAGTCCCAGGTCGCCCTTCTTTGGTAGTTTCACGAGGTAACCTTTCCTCCAGTCAGTAGGCACGTTTCCCTCTTTCCAGACCTTTTGCAATAATGGAGTCAGCATATCTGCTGTCGTCTCTGGGTCCCCTTTCAGTGCTTCCGGGGGTATTCCATCTGGTCCAGCTGCTTTTACAGCTTTCAGAAGCTTGATTGCATTCAAGACTTCAGCTTTCGTTGGAGGATTGGTATCAACTTGCAGTCGTGTACGTGCTGTCGTTGGTATTTCTGGACGGGTTGTAGGTGGTGGTCGGTTCAAGAGTCCTTTGAAGTGGTCCCCCCATTGTTTAATCTGTCTTTCTTCTTTGGTAATTGGGTTCCCTTGGCTTTCTTTTATAGGTTTCTTTTGTGTTGATCTCTTCCCGGATAGAGACTTGGTTATCTGATATAGTGTCCTTAGGTCCCTTTTGCCTGCTGCCTTCTCAGCTTCAGTAGCCAGGTTGTCGTAGAATTGTCTTTTGTCCTTCCTGGCACTCTTCTTCACTTCTTTGTCCAGTGCTATGTAAGTTGAGCTCAGCGTCTCTTTCTCTTGTCCATCTTTGCATTGAATCATTTTCTGTTTCACCATTCTCCTCTCCTCTATTAGCTTCCAAGTGTCCGTTGAGAGCCATTCCTTGTCTTGTTTCTTCTTTCTTCATAAAACCGTTGAACACGTTTCATTGAAAATTACCTTCAGAGAGATCCAATGGTCTTCCACGATGATTCCTCAGCGGTGCCAGGTAGTGTTTCCTGCTTTGCTCTGACAGTTGCAGTGAAAATGTCCTGTGTGATTGTGTCCTTCAGCTTTTGCGTGTTGAACTTGCATTGTGGCCTATCCCCAGGTATCCTCGAGGCTTTCAGCTTCATCTTGAAAGTCCCTTGTACTAGATAGTGGTCTGAACCCACATCTGCTCCTCTCCTCGATCTTGTGTCCAGTAGGCTCCGTCTCCACTTTCTTGAGATTGAAATGAAGTCTATCTGGTTTTTGGTGTGTCCATCTGGTGAAATCCATGTCGCCTTGTGCATATCCCTGTGTTTGAACACACTGCCACCAATCACCAAATCATTGAAGGCGCAGAAGTCTGAGAAGAGTTCACCATTGTCGTTCATTTCACCGAGGGCCTCGCGACCCATGGTGAGTTCTCTTCCTGTATTGTCTCCTCCCAGTTTCGCATTCATGTCTCCCATCAGGATTTTGATATCGCTCTTTGGGATGTTGTCCATTACTGTTTGTAGTTGACTGTAGAAATCCTCCTTCTTCTCATGTTCTGAGACGTTTGTAGGTGGGTAGCATTGAATGATTGTAACCTTTTTTCCTTTTGAGTTGAACCTGGCTGTCATTATCCTGGAGGAGATTGGTTCCCACTGCATGAGAGCCTTAGCCGCTGCTGGTGACATCATGATGGCTAAAAACATTTATATGCATACATACGCCTAAATTACCAAAAGCATCTTTAACAGGCTACTACATAATCAACATCAACACCAGTCCCCTCTCCTCCTCATTTGACATTGAAGATCAGGCAGATGGCAGGAAAGGATGACCAGCAAGGGAAGTCATGTGGCAGCCAGAAAAAATTTTACCCAACAACAGATTCGTTTTTATGATTTTGACCACGGATTGATTTCAGTTAGAGAACCATTAAAAACCAGGGAGTACTGGCAGCCAGCCGTTTCATCCTAGTTTGGGGATCATCCACAATACGCACCCACTAGGATTCGAACCTAGGGACTTCCGGTTACAAGTCAAGCTGGCTGGTATACCATTCAGCCACTGGGACCCGATTCAATGACCAGCACACGAATTCTAACTTCTACCAATTCGTGATTTAGCGCGACTGACACCAACCAATATCATCGGTGGGAAATCCATCCTCACAATTGACTGGTTGGACCTCATTGGTCACGATTTCTCACTAGAACTCCAGGAAACTTCGTCCTGTGGCAAGTCACTAGGGAGCAAGAGTTGGTACTGCCGATGATTCCCAAACTAGGATGAAACATCTGTCCAGTACTCCCTGCTGATTTTCAATGGTTCTCTAACTGAAATCAAACCGTGGTCAAACTCGTAAAAACAAATCTAATCCTTACAAACCAACTCTTGAAAACAACATATTCGTTATACACTCAGGACACTTCCAAGTAATATCATATGTGACACCCCGTCAAGCGGAACTCGAATCCGAAAAGACAATTTGGGCGTCATAGGAGATAACATGAAGAAGATCACTATGTGAAGAAATGAAAGCTCATTAACAGTGGTGGCAGCTGATGACTGTGAGTCGACTGTGATGAAGATGCACCGCTGTGGCCCTATGTTTGCGAAGAATGAATAATAGTAATAATATTGAACACAAATGTTAAGTCACTTATTTCTTCTATATTATGTCAGAAACTTGGCGCCTGCGTCACCAACATACTATTACAGGCTTTTATCGAAAGCTGCCTTCGTTGGATCCACACTGAAGATCAAATAGCCAGCTCGCCAGAAAGAATCAGCAACAGCAAACTTTGGGAACGAAGTAATCAAAAGCCTACAGCTCAAGAAATATGCCAATAAAGAAGGAGACCGTTGAATGACATCTCACGCTAGACATAACCTCAAGCGGAATCCGAATAAGAAATGATGAGTGGAGTATCGCTTCAAGCATGACATGGAGGAGATCAGAGATTATGTGCGATCATGGCGCCAGCTTAAGAGAACCTTAGAAAACAGGACAAAGTGTAGGTGTGTTACTGAAGCCCTGTATTCCACTCAGAACCCAAGTAAACAATAATAGTAATAATAATAATTCATAATATTTTTTAAATTTATAAACAAAGTAAACAGCAGTATGACAGTGATGATTATTCAACATGTTAACAGTTTTTACAGTCTATTAAGTTGAGAGTAAGTGAAATATGAATGTCTGTGCGTGTGTGTGTGTGTGGGTGGATGTCTTGATATCTTGATATATGAAAATGAACAAAAAGGGGAACAGAACACCATAATGAACACAGGCATGAATGTGACTGTATGTGTAGGAGGGTCTGTGTTCTAATCAAATAAGTATGTTTATAGTGAAGACTTTTTTGGTTCAGTTTTGTGCGTATCTTCCTTCACATGTGTTCATTTTATTTTCATTATGTGTCTATGCATGTAAGTGCAAAAAAAGCAACTATAACTACTGATACTACTTAAATGAATACAAGTAACAATGTTAAATTACGTTTTGTTTTATTTACATATATGAAGTGAAGTTTATACTGTGATGTTCATTTAATATAGACTCTTTTCTTTTTGACTGTGATAAAAAGAAACTCCATTCATCAACAGATTAGAAAGAAGAAGAAGAAAACAGGGAAACAGGCAATGGGATGGCAGACGGGTCAACCAAGATGGTTATTCAACAGGTGACTTCAAAAGGCAACACATTGTATGTATCTATTATCATTACTGGCATGTGAATCACTTTCTCTGTAATGTGTTGTCTGCCTATGTATTTTTTTCAAAAAACTTCAGGATTTTTCATACATATGAAATTTACACCCATTATTAATCGATTACATTGTCGATTTTGCCAGTTTAAATTTGCAGTTACAAGTACACAAGCTTTTGGTCCTCTTTGATATCTTTGATGTTGGTGTAGTTGTCGTTTATGGCGGTATTTACGTTTTATCCGATTGTCCGTTGACAATCTCCATTTTGGTTTAACAGGATAACCTGTATCCCATTTTGTATAACTAACATGTTCAAGATTATGCCATATCCATGTACCATGTGGTCGTGTTTGATGGAGACCTGAAATCAAAACAGACAATAAACAGTGACGCTTTAATTTACATTATTATTACAATTCATATTATTATTTTATTGAAAATAAAATACTCAAGTATAGGTTTACAGGTATTTGATTGGTTTCCTGATTTGTCATCAACAGAATTCAGTAAGAGAATTACTGAAAATCAGCTAGGATTACTGGACAGCTGTTTCGTCCTTGTTTAGAACTCTTCATCAGTATGATCCCATAACAGGGTGCTTACCAACTCACTGACTATAAGATAAAGCTATCTGAAGTCCTAGTATTAATTCGTACCCGTGTCTCCTAGTGCTGCGGTTAGAGACGTTACTACTGAGCTATTCGGGCTCGCGACTGACCTACTGTAGGACTGTCTTGGATACTTTTGATTGATATCAAGTTCAACTTGATATAATTATGAGCAATAGTTTGTGTTCGAAACGTCATCATTTAATACGACTGTACAACACTGTGTGATTTATCAAAATAAAATCTTATCCATAATGGAGTTATACTCTACCACAGTGCCCAAGTTTTATACTTATATCAAGAAAGAAGAGCATATCTACTATTTTCTGAACATGTACCAAAAAGCTTATATCTAAAGGGAACAAATGCTTTAAACAGTACAATCGCCCGGCATCTCCTTGACACAGGTCATAATGTGGATGTCACAAGATCGTCCAAAATTATCAGTAGGCAAAAGAGTTCAATTCTCCTCAAGTTTGCCGAAGCAATCTCCATCAAGCACCTGAAACCTGATTTATGCGTTCAGAAAGAAGCAGTTATCAGTCTTTCTTCGCCCGGCCTGGCAACTGGATATTTTCACCTCTCTTTCATCTGATTACGTAATGTCGAAAGTTTCCATTGTGTATGATCATTATTGTTCGGAATAGTGTTTAATATTATATATATATATATATATATATATATATATATATATATATAATTACTGTATATATATATTGATTGACTTTCGTTTAAAAATGAACTCTGTGCAAGTATGTTAAAATTGTTTCTGTAGATATAATTAATAATGACTTCGGCATCTAGGCATCTGATGAGAAACCGAAGAAATAAGCAATGATGGTAGCATTTTATTCTACAAAATTGTTTTTCTTGCTCTATTCAAATTCTTGTACTAGCTATGAGTTCAAATACAAACATAATTTGTTTATATACCAGTTTACTTGCTCGTATGGAGCTGAGTACACCAGCCGCACCATGCGCCAACTTGAAAAACGTGCTCGTGAACACTACCCAGCCTGGCTAGCAAAAGAAGAACGAAAATGTGTATATAGCTCAGCGATGGAGCATTTGGTCAATTCATGACATTCAGCCCCATTCAAAAAGTCGTTCAAAATCATATACTATATCCGATCAAACCTATCAAAAGGAGTAAAATTAAGACATCTGGGCATAGCTGAGGCACTAGCCATCCAAAAGCTCAAACCCACGTTATGTGTCCAAAAGAAATACGTCCAACCCTTGTCGCTGCCATGGCCATCATAAACAGGTAATTCTTTTAACAGTGACTATCCCATAGCCTTTCTTATTCAAACTTCCTGTTTGTTCATGTTATTTTTTAGTTTTTCTTAATCCCTATTTACACTACCATATTTTTAAATCCAGGCTTCCTGTTTATTTTGTCATTTTATTATTTCTACAGGTTTAATCCCTAATTGTATGAACAATTATTCGTCACATTAGTTATGATCCCACTAGATTTTTTTATCCAAACATCCTATCTATTTTATTATTTCTACATTTCTAATCCCCAACTGCACAATATGTCAATCTTCCCAATAACTATAATGCTACTTTGTTTGAGTTTTATCCGTCCCCCTGTTTATTATGGCATTTTACTTCCTAATTGTAATTTTATTAATGTGACCCTTGATTGGAAATTATTCTGGTACTTTCCCACCCATTCATCATAAATACACGAATGTACAGTCTGGTTGATGATTTCGTCGAAAAGAAAATTTTCTCCACTGCAACTGTCTTTTGATTATTCCCTATGATCAAATGTGTATATTCCGTAATCCTGTGTTCCGAGTGGAATACTGAGCTTCAGCCTTTAAGCTTTCAAGTTTCAGTAGCAGTGGCGTTTGTTTTTTAAGGGTGTGGCATTGCTAGTCTTACACGCCTGACCTTCTCTTTTTACCGACCTGACTACTAGCTAAGCAAAGTTTCGGGGAGTGAGTCGACCGGGAGTCTAACCCAGACCACATGCATGTTTGGTAAGCCTTCTATCACTGAACTATCGATGCCTGACAGAAATTGTCTGCCCCCTAAGTATAAACCCCTTAAGAGCTAATAATTTTCACATTGTTTACAGAGTATTATTTCAAACTAATTCATACTTACCTATCCAAAAAGCATTGTGTAGCTTGAATGTTTCAGTTAACCATTTCATATTAGCTTCATCAGAAATACTTGTTAAGAAACCATCCTGTAGTTCACAGTAATTGCGCGCCTCTTCCCAAGTCATCTCTTGATGTTCATACAAGCGGTAACAACGATGCTGATAGTATTTCCATCCTATGTAGTCGAGAGAAGTGAATAATTGTGATTTAACAGTTTGTTAAAACACATTAAAAATGATGCCGAATGACATGCAAAAATTACACATGTAAAAAACATTGACACTATGGTATTATGTAATTCAATATTAACCTGTCTCTCGCATATATATATAATATATATATACATACACGTATCACAGTGAAACAATATTATTTATTTCCTGAATAATGCTTCGAACAAAGTTTGTCCTTCGTAACCTTACCAACTGGAACAACCCATATTCCAAACACTGTTTTTTAAAGTCAAAAGCGTAGTACAACTTCCCAAATATTGGGGACAGGAGTTGAATCACTCAGTTGATTCGATAAACAAAGCATCACTGGTAAACCTTTCCCTCCATCCTATAGCATTCGATTTTAAGACTGACGACAACTTGTCCTAACCTGCTGAATATTTTTGCGTAACCGCCTGATTTGCTTCATAGATTTCTTATCTTACAGGGGCGTATGAGTCTAGATTGTTTTGTTTCAACGTGAGTTTTTGGGTCTGAATACTCCTTTTCATCCTCACCAAGAAAAATTTCATGTATACCTTCAGAAGTTCCTTACTTGTATGGTGAAAATGCCAATGGTTCAGATTCCCTTTTCTTGGTCAGCATAAATTTTGATTCAGTTTTGACTATGGGCTAATACAAGTCACAGAACCGTTAAGAACCAAGGAGTACTGATTAGCTGTTTCGTCCTGGATTTTTGCTCTCCAGAATTATGCACCCGCTGAGTTTCGGACCCAAGACCTTCCGGTTACAAGTTTGTAGGCTATTCAACTACTGGAACCTGATTCACTGGCCCATGAACTCCAGCTCCTACGAATTCATGATTTTAGCGAGACCACCAGCCAGTGTCATCGAAGATCACGCCCGATCTTACGGACCCCATTAGTGATGACTTCTCACTAGAATTCTAGGCAACATCTTCCTGTATCCAGTGACTGGCGAGTATCAAATTGAATTCCAAGAGCTACTTTGCAGGGGTTTGACTTATTTGAATTGACTGAATTGTCTACGAGCTTGTCTTGAAACCGGAAGGTCCTGGGTTCGAACCCCATTGGATGTGTACTGATAATGAATGCATACTACGACGAGACAGTTGTCCAGTACTTTCTGGTTTCTAGGGGGCTTCTCTAACTGATAAAACTTGAAACAAGTCCAATTCCCAGAGATTAGCTCTTTAAAGCAATTGAAATTGGTAATGGGACTATCTGAGACAGCTTTGAGTTGTCAGTCTGTTATTAACGTGATGCACGATGACTGACGGATGACAGTCTACCAGGACAATGCTGTCTCATATCCTCACACACATCACCAGTTAACAATCTGCTCTCCCTTTTAATCCAGTATGATTACCATTGCGTTATTTGCTCACCTGGGTATTACTCGTGGTCACTACAGTGATGTTGATGGCTTTTTTATCATTTAGATGGTCTCATAGCTCAAGAAGGGTAATTTGTCTGATTCAGGTTCATATGGCGATAGAAAGCCATACTAGCAGACTACAATTGAGGTATAGCTCAGAATAGGTCATATCAGTGGCAGTGTTGTTTTTGTAGGGCAGAGTTACTAGATTCATGGCTAACCTTCCCTTTCTTCTGAATTTATTAAAGGCTAGTGACTAGTAGGCAAGCTTTAGGCGAATGCATAGATTAGGAGTCTTTAAAAAACTTCCCGCGTGGCTGGTGGGCATTTTACCACTGAACCGTTCATACTACTCTCACTTTAGTGGTTAATTATTGAATAGATGAGAATTTAAGCTTATGGATACATTATTTCTGGTGCAAATCCTATAAGCGCTTTAAAAGTATCGTTGGAGAAGTTACTCATTGACTTTAGCAGACGACTTTTCATTATCTGGTCCTGGGTTCTAATCTCCACCTGGACAATCGTTGAACATCACTTCTCACATAATCCATATGATTCACACCCTGGCACACGAAAACTGAGTTCTAACTTTAAAAATTTGCTGAAAAATGTCATAGATTCCTCAAACAGACTATAATTTTTTAAACGTTTAAATCTATGAATAATTTCATGCATTTATTCCCCCTGATGAATTTGAATAAAGCAAGAACAACAGTAGTTCGTGCAGAATAATATGCTACCACCACTGTTTATTTCGTTAACTTCTCATCAGCTGCTTACTGCCTAAATAAATTACTACACTGAGTTCATGTACAGAAAAGTTTTAACATACTTGCAAATTTTACATGATGTCAGTTGACAGGAGGTTGCGGAATTAGTGAACAGTGCCCAGAAAATTACGCTTATATAGTTTTTACACAGGCAGTTCAAGTTTAAACAAAATAAATGTATGCATACAACGATAAAGGAGTTGCATAACAAGGACGAGAGATGTGTAAGATGACGAGTAACTAATAAATTGATTAACAATTTGGTGGGTTCAACTCTTGTTATGCAACTCCTTTATCGTTGTATGCATACATTTATTTTGTTTAAACTTGAACTGCCTGTGTAAAAACTATATAAGCGTAATTTTCTGGGCACTGTTCACTAATTCCGCAACCTCCTGTCAACTGACATCATGTAAAATTTGCAAGTATGTTAAAGCTTTTCTGTACATGAACTCAGTGTAGTAATTTATTTAGACTGTAAGCAGCTGATGAGGAGCTCATGGAATAAATGATGATACCATATTATTCTTCAGGAACCACTGTTGTTCTATGAATAATTACAGACAGTTTTCATAATTATTAACTCTTTTATAACTTTATACCACACTTATTGACTTTGTTCGATAGTAAACGTAATACTACATTTTGTTTTAGGCATAAAATTCCAAGCTACTGTTAAACTAAATTTGAATTCATTTATTTAAGTAACTTTATACTACTTTATAAACCACATCTAAGTAGAATGAACAGTCGATGTGTTACTAGAGACTGCAGCTAGGTGTAATTGAAGAAAACGCAGGCTTTTAGAACGATTGAATTCATCTCTATCGATTACTTTCAAAGGTAGATTATATACCAGTAAATAGCTTAACGTTAAAAAGTGTTAACCTTCCTTGGAAGAGTTTCACAGGAGCAGTAGTAGTGTAACGACAGAAGACAATGGCCAGGCAACAGATCGTTTGTTGAGAAAATCAACAGATATTTATAGATTTTTATGTACATTATTATTAGCGTTATTATTAGCAGAGAAACAGCGTCTTCTGTTTGGTTGTTTTCCTGCTGAAGGTTATTCTGTTATCTCTTTGTGGCCGTTTTTTAGACAGTCCGTTTATATATCTACGAATCGTATCCGCCCCACGCTAAGTCTGCTGTGATTGATTGTTGAGTTCCCCCAAGATTAGGTTTTGTTCTTGTTTTTTTTCTCATGACCAAGATTATGGGACGTAAACATTGACGTCAACTGTTGTCTACAATTTTGTCTTGCAGACAGCTATAACCACAGTAGTAGTATATGAAGTAAAAAAAGAGAAAAAAACGCCCACAGCAAGATTTATTACTCTACACTCGGCACTTACCTTCTAAACAATGAATTGAATGTTTATTTGAATGCATATACTTTTCATACGATGCACTTAATGCCTTAGAATCTGGTAGGTCATTTGTAGCAAGCCATTCAGTTAAACTTATAGGCTTTTTAACTGGATAGTTGTCAGCCTCATTAGCATTCTTCTCCATCTTATAATCTTGTCCATCATGCGACTGTTCATTATAATCTTTGTCATTATTATTATTGTTTGTTATTTGTGCATCAGATAAATAGACATGCTTATCCATTTGTGACTGATGTTGTTCATTTGCATTTGTGTAGAGGAAATCACTAAGATCTCGTTTCACTGGATTCTAAATAAATAAAATGACACAATATAAGTAAACTTGTGTTATATTTATGTGTAGTGAAGAAGAAATTCCTCTGAAAATAATGATTTGATAACAATGGAAGTGAAGGCAGGAGTAAGATAAGCCTGCTTACTTACTGTCACCCATGCTGATATTTTTTTCATTGTGGTGGGCAAGGATCATGCGGGAGACCGTGGTTGTGTACCAGGGAGGCAGGAGTCCATAGAGACGACAAGATGATCCTAGAAGATTTGGAATTCGTGGACGACTGATGTCTGTCTAATGCCTTGGCAACCTAGAAAATCTACGGGAGGAGACCAACAAGTTGTCAGAAGAGGTTGACAGCAAAGGTGACAGGAGGTGAAGTGTACATTAGAGAAGACGGAGGTGATGAATATAACCAACCACCACCACCACTAACAACAAAAAGCACCAATCACCGTCAACGGCAGGTATCTGAAAGAGACCACTTCTTTCATTTATCTAAGAAGCATATTTTCAACTACAGGTACTGCTGCTAAGAATGTCAAAGACAGCCAGGAGCAGAAATCAACACAGGCACTCAATAGTCCGAAATCATTTGTGGAGACAAACAGTACTCAACATAACAGACAAGATTTAAATTTTTGAAATTAATATCAAGTCAGTGATTCTGTATGGTTCAGAGGAGTGGCTCGTGCGTCATGTTAAACATTTACAAAGGATTATTGAAGAATTTCACATTTACATCCAACTCCTCTTCTCGATACTGAAGATCGGACGGCCACATACCGTAGATAACAAGGGACTCAGGTAGCAAGCCAACTGAGAAACTATTTCCCAACAAGTATGTAGAAGCGAGTAAGGATGGATTGGACATAACTCTGAGGACACATTCAAGTAACATCACACATACGCACACACCAAGCTCACAAGTGGAACAAGAATGGTAAGTTACGAATCGGGCATCCAAAGATGACATGAAAGAGATCATATGAAGAGGGGAAAATGAAGACTTATGGGCAACAGTGGAGACAGATGAAGGTGATAACACAGAGCAAAGTGGAGTTTAGATTCGCCACTGAGCCACTCTATGTCACTAGCAAAAAATAAATAATAATAATATGCTTAATTCCAAAACAGTACTTGTGATACAGAATGGAATTCTCAGCATTTTTACTACAGTATTTCATCCAGTTAGTACATTATCAATGAATACAATTCCACATAGATTAAGGAAATCTCAGTTCATTGTGACAACAACATATTGGTATGTCGGTAGCAAAGGTAAAGCTGAACAGTGCTTGAAGGTGTTAGAAAAGTGGGAGGTGTCTTGTTTACTGGCGTAAGCGAGAGAAAGAAACAAAGCAGCACATAACGGAAAAAAAGAGAAAGAGAGAGAAAAGCAAAAGAGAGAAAGAAAATGTTGTACCTATAAATGATATGAGTTGGAAAGACGAGATCCAGTTGTTCTACTGTCTATTTAATAAGTTATATGTATCACGCCTAATGCTTTCTTTATCGCACAGAACCCGAGCTAAGTAGGGTATGGTTGAGCTTTTGTACTTGCTGGTGCGAGCATATAGTTTTCTATATAGGCTTCTGGTTTTACCTGATGAGATGCAAGGGGAGAGTTGTGAGTGAAGAGGGTGGTGTGAGTTAGATAAAATGGATTTGGCCCATTTTCCACATGAGTCCATGTGCCTGTCAACCAGAATATTAACAAGCTGGTTAAGTGGCACGTTGCTTACCCTGCTGACAACCTTTAACATCCTGCGTTATATGTTATAGTCTTTCTTCAGTAGCCCGGGAAAAACTAAGGGGGAACAATAGAGAATAATAGGCAGGATGCAAGAGTAAACGAATTGTAGGAGTAATGGTTGGGTTATACCAGAATGTTTTAAATTCTTGATGTAGAAGATAAGACGGAATATTTTCTTAGAAATCGTCAAGATATGAGACGACCAGGAGAGATCAGCAGATAAAATGACACCAAGATATTTAATTTCAGACTTGATTTCTATTTCAGTACCATCTTTGTTGCACATCTCATGAGTGCTAACCAGTTTGTTTAGGTCAGGTTTATGCCCAAAGGTGAAATTGACTGTTTGACATTTCGAAGGATTTAAGGTAAGACCGTTTTCCTTGGACCACTGGCTGATTTCTGATAGAATAATAATTCTAATGTATACTGTAATAATCCATAGCTGCATATAATCTCTCGTCGTATTTATGAAGCAGCTATCACTCCTTGGATTAAACAAGTGTACTGAAGGAATTTTCGGGTACATTTCCTGACGAGCCATATTAACTCAAATTGTGGTACCTTATTAAGAATTTGTTCTTCGGATCGCAGATATGCTTTACTAATACTCTGAGGCTAGGCGTCGAGTGTGAGGTAAGAAGGAGAACCAACCAACGAGGCTGTGAAGGTACACCGATGGAGATGGTTAGGACATGTGTTAGGCATGCAAGACTAGCCATCACATTCCTAGACAATCGGCAATGTTAGCTGACATAGGATGGATCAGGTAGGAAAAAAGCTGGCCAGTGGTGGTCAAACCAAAACATGGTTTCATCAGTTAATGAAATCCACGACAGTTAGTTTAAGCCAGTCACGTCGGGAGGTGTAGACTATCGCCTGGTTGGGTTCCTCGAGATGGTAAAAACCAATGGCTTGAGATGATTGGTGATATAGCTCAAAATCGTTCTCGACGATGGCGCAGATGCATCCACTCCTTGCGATTTATAATATTCAATAAAACTATTTTTTACTTCCATGTTACTATTCTTTTTGCCTCACTCACATTTCTGTTTATTATCTCTGCTTTTAATCCTTCTCTAATCTCTTCTCTTTCTTTGTGTGCCAAGTGAAGTGTGGCAACTCGAAATGCTGCGTACCTGTGCAAAGTTCTACGTTTGAACCAGTCAGTCAGTCAGTCAGTAGAGAACTGACGTTCCAGTATGTGAATAATGGGAGTCTTATTATAGATAATAAAGAGTCTTAATTAGGAGGGAAAAACTCACATCCTGGATTACAACTTTAGCCATCATGTAAACTTACATTTGACGTTTTCATTGTATATTCCCCAATTTTTACTGGTGTAAAGTAGGATTTTGACTGACATTTTCCATGAATACCTGAATTGTAGAAAAAATCTTGTATTAAACGTGGATAGTCACTTTGTGTGAAAATAAATCTATAAAGCTTTTAGTTTGGTTTGTTAGACTGCAGGCTATACAAGTTAGCCTTTATCCTTATGAAAGGATATCAGTTAGAGAACTATTAGAAACTACGGGGGGAGGGGTGGTAGACAGCTATCTCCTAATAGTTCGGGGTGCGTACTGCTGAACAATTCCCAGATTTAGATAGAGAAAGAAAGATCAGATTTGCAGTATAAAATGATATCATCATTCTATTTCACAGGCTCTCATCAGCTGCACACCCCTACCTGAAATGATAATGGTTATATAGATGATAATAGCATGTTTTAATGTTTAATTGGTAGTAGAGAAGAAATATTATAAAATTGACGCGCCCAAAATCTAAGAATTACAATTTTTAGTTTTCCTCATCAATTTATACGCTTCCAAAGTAGAAAAGAGGGGGGTAGTGGTAAGACAGAAAAAAAAAATTAACAAAACAGTGTTAGCTTGTAGGTTCACATAGCAACTCCAAAAAACAAAAGCGGTTACAGCTTATGAGATTAAGATGTGTCCAGTGAGTTGAGATCACTGAATTGTATGACTATTTAATGTAATCAAAATCAAAACTCAGGTACCAAGAGAGTGAGAGATTAATCGCACTGTCTTTCTGTATGCATAAGTCTGGTTGGTTTGAATCGTTTGATTGCGATGGCTCCGGCAAATCGTAGTAAATTTGCAGTCTTTTGTCTATTCAATATTTTGAAGGACTTAGAAATCTCTACGAGATGAGCAGTGTCAACAGTATGTCTGGTAATTGCACTCTGAGAATATTTGCTTCCTTTCAGACACAAGTTTCTTGGAATATGTTCAGAAAGCCGGATGGAAGCCCTTCTTTCCGCCCTTCTAATATACTTGCTCCCGCAAGTGCACGTAAATTCATAAACGCAGTCGGAAGTGACATCAGTAATTTATTTATTCAGTTTAGAGTGGCTTATAGAAGAAGTAGTGCTATATGATGTTATGAGTTTTATTGCTCCTTCCACTGTCTTGTCGACCTTTTGTGACACTGCATCTCCTTTGAATGCGAGACAAACAAACACTTTTTTCTTTTCTATAGTTGGTTGTTTTCTTTCTTATCTTTCTCTCTGCTATACTTTTGTATAAATCCCTTTGGATATCCATTTTCTCGCTTACATTTCGCTTACATTTTGGATGCGTCAATTTTATAGTATTTCTTCTCTACTACGACTTAAACATTAAAGTATTCTTCAGCTGATGAGAACCTGTGAAATAGAATGATGGCATCATTTTCGACTGCAAACTTGGTCTTTCTTTCTCTATTGAAAATTTATCAAGGGAACCAAATGTATGAAATTCCCAGATTGGGACTAGCTGTATGTATTCCCTACTTTTCAATATTTTAACTGATTAAAAATGCCTATTAAAGTTTTCAAAAGAATAGACACGGGACAAAGAGTACTCTTTTCGATAAATTCATCATCAGGTTTTACAATTATATATACATTATAATGAATGAATGAATTAGTCTTATGAACGACATTGATGCTGTTTAAATAACATCAAATCAATAATATTCATAAATTATAGCTGAATAGCATCAACATAAAATAAACTGAATGTCAGAAGAATTAGGAAAGGTAATAGTACAAATCCATGAGTTTATAGTCTCTACTGAGGGCCAGGGCAGTAGTAGGGGCTGGACTTGTTTCTTTTGGACACAGAGCACTGGTTGTTTTAGGCGAATTGCAATGGCCTCTGCTGTTTGTAGCATGCGGTGCTTCGACGATTTTGGTAATTTGTTAGGCACCCAGTAGATTATACAGAAGGATTCTTCTACACTGGCTTTGTGACCGGTTCGCACCAGATGGTCTAATATTGAGCTGTTAATAGTTTTAACTACACCTTTACTTAGCCATAGTGGGAGATTTTCTCGAGCACGAAAAATCAAGTTCCTAGAGCAACGGCCAACATAACTCGCTCCACAAGCTCAGTTGAATTGATAAATACAATTTGAAGTGGCTAGTCTAGGTACTTCATCTTTCAGTCGAGGTAGCACCATCGGTCGTGTAGAGAATAATAAGTGTAGTTCGCCAGCATTAAAAGTTCTTTGAACTGATTTTCTTAATTTCCTCGTAATTATCTCAATTCGTATATCACCCTTGAATTGTAGTTGTATCTAAAGTGGCTTCTTGTTTACAGATAGTAAGTAGTCCTTTTCCGCTTTTTTGTTATGTGTTTCTTGATAAATTTTTCGGGATAGCTATTTTTGATCAAAGTATCATATACCATGCTTAATTTATCTTTAATTACTTCTTCAGAGCATATAGTTCTAACTCTAAGGCTAAGGGTCTTCACTAAATTCCTTTTGTAATTGATGGGAACGAAGCTGTGAAAGTGTGTATATTGTCCCGTCCAAGTACTTTTTCTATGCAAATTTCTTTTTATGCTACCTGATGATGAATTTATCAAAAAGAGTACTCTTTGTTCCGTGTCTATTCTTTTCAATATTTATCTAACTGATGACAGTTTGTGAAGAAATCTTACACAAACGAATTAGAACTTGGTGTTTTAAAGAAAAAGATAATACTGAGTTGTTAAGATCAATGGAATTACAGTTCAAAAGCGTGTGTAAGTAATAATAAGCCCAGAAAATGTAATACTTAAATGAGTAGCAGATAAAACTATGAAAAAAGTTTACGCGACATTTAAAGAAAGTTGAAAAAACACAGTTACGATCATAGTAGGGACAGCATCTGAATGAACTACTTAACACAGAAATTAGTCTTTCTAAGATGGATTCCGACGGCTCCAGATCTTTACGTGAAAGAAGAACACGTTAGGCAAATTGAGATTAGTCGGAATATGATGCATAACTTTAAAAGCCTTGTTAATGCGGTGTTTCTTTCTGTTCAGTATCTGCAGGATGAACTTGAACAGATATGCAAATAAACTTTGTCTGTCTTTTCTATATTAGAAAAGTTTATTGTAATGATCACACAGTGATGATGCAGTATTAACAACTGGATGACGTTTCGAGCATAAATTATTGCTCATAATCATGCCAATTTAGTCACACGGTTTCACTCTTTGTCTTATATATATTTTCTCTCTTTCTGTTTCTCCAGCTTCCCTTTGTTGTTTGTTGCCACTTTCCGTATAACCGGTATACGTGTTGCTTCATTCCGATTGCACGTGTGCGGTGTTGAATCGATAAACAAAGCTTCATGGATTAACCTCTCTCTCTCTCTCCACCTACCTATATTACTTTTTAATACTCACCCTGTTCCAACCACCCTATTTTGTGATTACATGCAAGTGAATGCAGTGAATTGGCTGAGCTTTTTTCTAGATTATTTAACTTAGCAGGGTCAATTATTTTAGGCGTAGCTGAATTTGTATGTTTTAATAATCTAGTTGACCACGATCTACTAGTTTGACCTAGGTAATCGACTTCACTAACAGTCATTACATGGTATTTGATAAATTATATTATTTTTCTTAATTGGATCTATTGGCTCCTTAAGCCGACAAAGTTAGTCTCTGAGAGATTCGGCTGGTTGGTTTAAATGCCACCCTGACCAATTCCAGTGTCATTGAGAATCCTCTAACTTTCCTTCTTTATACGGCAGTATTACAGCGTCTTTGAATTCTATATTATTTGTCTGTCTTTTGCTTAACTAGGCAGAATGATGTTCAGAAATCCCAAAATGAAAATGCTTAATTGCGTGCCCAATGTATCTGGCTCTACAGGAGCAGTCAAACTGATAGATACATATAGAAGGTTGGGAAAAATATAGCAAAAAGAGCATTCAACGCAGCGAAAGTTTACCCTTTTCACGACCACTCAAATTCAATATATTTGATTTAAGGATAAACTACTTAATGTCGTCTCAACGGCTTGAATTCAAGTCGTGCTCCATCTACTTCAAACTGACCAACTAAGTAGTATGATTGGCCTTCACATAGTAGGTGTTGTTTATAGCGAGGTAAACGGGAAATCTGTTTAGGAGGATTCAGTACTAATTTAACCAAAACTTGTATAGATCACCTCTACAATCCCGAAGTAATTTCGATCTCTGACATACTGTATAGACTATAAGATTTATTCATTTTTGATATGAATGAACATGAAACGATCAAGAACTGACTTTCGCCGAAAGCTGTCTGCACTTACCTTGTACAACTACTTCAGCTCTACGTTTTCTATCCAGAATACCTCCAGTTGGTAGTTTAAGATCGATGTAAAAACGTAATGGTTGTCGACTGAAACTGTTCTCTCTTGGATGAAAACGTATCAATACATCTTTTTTCGATTCACCTACGTAATAAAAGATTTTAATTTTTGAAAGGTTAGTATTACTTTCTACACTCATACTACTTTTGACAAAAATAAGTAGTTGAATGTACAATTGTAAATTTATCGAGCAACATCTTTTATATGTTACATGGAAATTCGCACCAACAGACTTATCTTGACAACGTTTATGAACAGTGACAGAAATAACTCCAAGGATAAATTACTGATTTAACCGAGTTATATATATCCATTCCCTTGCTAGCCTTTTGCAAAACCTTCTCACTTTACTTGGCTTACTACTTACTAAGCGAGTTTTATGACTGATTCGTGAGGGAATCGAACTTCGGACTAGGTGCATGGTCAACGAGCATTCTGTCGGTGAACCACCAACACACTATCCGATATATATGAGTAATTAGCTATTCTTTGTTCAATAGTATTTCGAAATGTTTAAGGGGCATCTTTAATCTCTAAAGTGCTTCCGGTTAGATAAAATCAAAAGTTGGGATTTTTTGGATTTGAGTAACATTTCGGAAGGGATGATTAAATTAGATGCACATGAAATTTAGTGTCACCGCTAATTGTTTACCACAAGACCCTGAAACTCATTTGGCGAAATAAACAGTCTAGCTTGTCATGTTAGGAAGGGCACTTACCCATGAACAGAAAAATGATGTCCAGCAACTTATTGAGGTGGAGAAGATCAGTGATTAGTGAAACTTGACTTGTTTATCATTAATATTGTTCCCTTGGGTTCTGAGTGGAACATAGGGCTTCAACAGATGTTTTCAACTTATCCCACGACTAACCACAGTCTTACATATCCTCCTCGCAAGATCTCCTGCATCTCATCTTCCAACCCCAGCCCAAATTTTCGTTTCCCACCATTAGGGTTCCACCCGAGATTGCGCCTGGCACGAAATGTCATGCGAAGGTCTCCTAAGAGTGTATCTGATCTATTTCCATTTCCTTCAGAATATTTATTGAGCCATAAGTTCCTGGTTTTTTGTTTCCAGTGTTTCTTGCTGCTAATTTTTTTCTGACTGGCCATTTGATTTTATTATTTTAAAGGAAGAATTTAAACGTTTCTCATGTTCGTCTGTAGTGCGAGGATACTTAGATGCTGGTTAAAAATTGAATATACCCATTAAAGAAGGTTGTATGATTATTATTATTATCATCGTTATTATGCATTACCACTGGAACATAGGGTCACGGAGGCACATTTAAATTACACCCAGCTCTCTCCAGCCACCTTCAACTGGCTCTACAACTCCCCAAAAGCTTCCACTCTCTCCTGCTCATAAGATCTCCTTCATATGACTCTCAGACGTTCAACTCGTAGCTTCTTATCTGGGTTCCACTCCTCGGTCTAGTATGTGACGCCACTTGGTGTTCCCAGCGTGTATACTCAATCCATCTCCTTCTGCATGTTTACTGTGTTGTAGGTTCTTGGCTGGTTAGCTATCTGCAAGAATCCCTTGTTTCTTCCGCTTTTTGATTGACCAGTCATCTCATCTTCTATACAGAGTGAAGGGGGCCCACCGTTGATGAAATTCTGCTGTTGCCTGTTGGAAATGCTTTCCATTTGACCAGCACCAGTCTTATGAACCATATAGAATCACTGGCGTGGTACTGGTGTTAAAAACTCAAATGTTTTTCCTTGTACCACGTGTTGTAGAACTCCGTGATGATTTCCATGTAATGGACTCTTGTCTTGCTTTTTGGACTCTGGCTTTGACATATTCATCCGTGTCTTCTGTAGCTGAGACCATTCATTTCGAGTAAGTAATACAGGATAGTTGCCTTTGACGCCTTCGATCGATGCAGAATGATGTATGTCTTTTTGGTTGGATATCTTCATCACCCTTACCCTCTCTGTGTTCACTTGAATCCTTCCCTCGGCGTACTCTTTTGTCAACGTTTTGGTTAATTTTTGTAGATCTCCAAGTTTGTGAGATAAAGGACATAAGCAATCAGTAAAAGTTGGATATTTTAGGAGGTTTTGGTCCACCGAAACGTATTCCTAACTTCTCACCCCTAAAAATTTATGGGATGATGCAGTCCATTGCGGTCAGGAACAACACTGGTGATAAGTAAGCAGTCTTGTCTTGCTTCCATCTTCATTTCAAATGCTACGCTGTGCTTTTCACTATGAATTAATTAGTATATGACATCCTCATGTAGCTTTTGAATGTCATTAGCAATAAATAGGTAAAAATCCGTCAGAACAATCCTATTTTGATTTAATTTAATTTTATTGACTGACCCATACTGAATTGTTCGACAGAACACAAATATCGTCGAATCATACGCAGAAGGAACCGGCACGTCAACAGACATCGATCACCGTTGTACACGAAGTGACTCTTGTAGTCCAAGTGATCTCTTAGATAAGACTTTGGCGCTAGAAACGATGAGTACTGGGTTCGACCCTCAATAGGAATACCATTACTCACTGAAGGAGAGCAAGGTACATCCAGATGATGAGTCCCGAATAGGACAAAATGCGAATCATTGGATGGATACCACTGCCATTTTTACCATCCACCAAATCACTTCAATCTCCATTTTACCATTACCATATTTAAAAAAAATACAAATCATTCAAGGACATTAGTAAATTGATATTCCTTTTACCTTTTTCAAAGACTAGCAATTTCTGTGAATGTAGACTGAAATCTTCTCCTTCAATAGCTGTACTAGATGATAAGCCAACGTAGACATCAGTCACTGTTGATTGGATTGTCTCATTTATACCCTTTCTTATAACACTCAGTGTTAAAAGACCACGTTCCGGGCAGATTGTATACACTTTACGATCGAAGCCAACTTTAGTCCAACTTAATTCCATACTAAGATAAAAAAATACTTACAAAGTTAAATGAAGATTAACAGTATTCAGAAAAGGTCAACTAAGAGAATCGCTTCAAACATATTGAAGTTTCAGTAAGCGGTGTGGTGTGCACTACTGACAAGATTTGTTAGTAGTATATAGATGAAGATGATAGGAAGCAATCAGAAATTGAAATCAGCATTTTATATCAATGGCTGGCTGCAAAGGTAGAAGTGTTTATTCCTCAAATCTGGATCTAGTTTACGATGTGGACATGAAATAACCTCATTGGACAACCTTTTGTCCTACTGTCTAATCTTCGGCCAAACTCCCACCAGTCAGAACACTTTATTGTCTTAAAAGTCAATCTAAACGAAGAATATTCTTTTCAAGAATTTCTCTTCAGGTTCTTACAATTATAAAATGTAATATGTTTGTTGTAGTTACAATAATGATAGCCAGTTATGCGGCGGATACATCTTTTTACGTAGAACAACAGATTAGCAGTTATGGGGTATCAAAACAAACATAGTCGTATTTTTGTGATAAACGTCGTGCTAGGCTGAAATCGATTACAAAATATTTCGGTGAAATTGGAGACAGTGGTGGTGATTAGTCACAATAGATTTGTAGAGTGTGGGGTAGGAAAAGTTCACAAGTCAGTTCAAGGTTATAAAAGGTGTCAGGCGGGTGAGGGGCTAGTACAAGGTGGTATGTATTACATAGGAGGAGATAGCAAGACTGCAATGAGAGGTTCATCATGAAATAACGAATGTGTGAAATAAAACAGGTGGAGACATATATTGAGAAAAGAGATAATATCACTAATAATAAGTCCAGATAGTATAAATGAAAAATTCGATAGTATTGAGAGAATGTTTGCATAAAGAGCATAAATTATGACGAATAATAATAATAATTGTAGTAAAAAGCAAATGAAAAAAACCATTAGGGTTAAGGGGAAGAAGCACTCTTGGTGATAAGAAGAATCATCAATCCAAGTTTGGCCACGGTAGGAACAGCTTCTGACACCTGACACCTTTTATAAACTCGAACTGACTTGTCAATTTTCCTACCCCACACTCTACAAATCTATTGTGACTAATCACCACCACTGTCTCCAATTTCACCGAAATATTTTGTAATCGATTTCAGCCTAGCACGACGTTTATCACAAAAATACGACTATGTTTGTTTTGATACCCCATAACTGCTAATCTGTTGTTCTACGTAAAAAGATGTATCCGCCGCATAACTGGCTATCATTATTGTAACTACAACAAACATATTACATTTTATAATTGTAAGAACCTGAAGAGAAATTCTTGAAAAGAATATTCTTCGTTCAGATTGACTTTTAATTCATGATACGGGAATATTTCACATTATTAAATTTATCGTCTGCTGACCCAGCCGAATTTTAATGTGGCTAGAATGTATAAATATTTATGATGTGTTTTTCCTCAATAAAAGTCCGTTAACAAGTCTCTAATCTTCTGCCGTTACAGCGGTATGGAATAACAGCTAATGTAAGCGCACAAGAACTAGATGGGCTAAAGATAAAATAATTCTTGAGGATGACACATTAGTAATAATAATAATAACAATGTGACCTGTCACTCTTGTATAACCAAAATCGTTTACAGAGATCATCAAAAACTGGGGGCCAGTGGACACACCTGTCTCGCCTTGTCCTCCCACAACTCCCCTAAGGGTCAGACCTCTGACCTTCGAGTTACAAGATGAAGCTCACCAACCATTCAGCCGCTTGGACTGGATTTCGAACTTCGTTAAGTCGTGTGTGATACAGTCTTGCCCTCATCGATGCCTTCAATGAGCATTCGCTTCACCTTGTCATAGTAGACCCACTGCAGCTTCAGGAAATATATCCAGTGATGCTGGCAACTGATATTCAGATAACAGGATTTCATCATTAGCTGATATCAGTTAGAGAACCATTGGAAAACCACCTGGGAGTACTGGACAGCCAGTTGTTTCGTCACCCTAGTTTGGGTTTCTTCGGCAGTACGCACCCACCAGGGTTCGAGCCCAGGACCTTCTGGTTACAAGGCGAGCTAGGTCGTAGACTATTAAGCCGCTGGGAACCAATCTAATGGCCAGCCCATGAATTCTAATTTCTGCCAATTCACGATATAGCGCGACCACAAGCCAATGTCTCCGGCGAGTATTTGTTCTGACACCCGACCTGCTGCACTCTATTGGTCACGACTTCTCACTAGAACCTCAGGTAACCACCTACCTGAATAGGGCAAGTCGCTAGTGAGCATCTCATCGATATTCAAGTGTTGGTTTGTAGGGATTTGGTTGATTGGTTACAGGATTTCATCATGAGCTGACATTGCCAGAAGTTAGAATCGGGTCCCAGTGGCTTAATGGTTTACGAGGTAGCTCGCCTTGTAATCAGAAGGTCCTGGATTCGAACCGTGCCGGCGGGTGCGTACTGATGATGAGTCCCAAACAAGGACTAAACAGGTGGCTGTCTAGTACTCCAGAACTAGTTTTCCAATGGTTCTCTAACTGATGTCAGCTCATGATGAAATCCTGTAACCAATGAAACAAATCCCTACAAACCAACACTTGGATATTCAGATGATAGGACTTGTTTTGATTTTGAACTAATTGCTATAATTCTTATAATTTTTACCACTAATGACTTGGCTTTACACATATGTCACTTTGAAAGATTTCTGTGTTGATACGGAAAGAGGGATAAAAATACATGGTTCAAGAATGCAGCTATTTACTGATTGGTCTAATTCCTCGTTTTGACAGTCATATTGGGAGATGTTTTTGTGCCAGCTTAGAGTTTTAAGGATAATCATTTCTGAGCGATATTCATGCATTAATATTTTTGACTTACGCAAGACTTAACTACTTAACAGTGACCTTCATAGGTGTAATCATAATTTTTAGGAGATTATATAACTTTACAGCTTGCAGGAAGTGATTTTACGAAAAGAATAATCTCTGCTGAACTGTGTCTTCTTTAACCAATAATATTAATAGGTTTGGCCATGAGGTAACATCAGCTAGATTTGTGAATACTGGACAGCTGTTTCGTCCTAGTTTAAGACTCTTCCAGGGCGTACGAAATGACAGAATTTGAAATTCATGGACCACTAAGTCGCGCCATACTAGCTGAATGGTTTACAAGCTTGACTTGTAACGGTAAGGTCCTGGGTTCGCGCTTCAGTGTGTGCATACTAATGAAGAGTCCAAAACTAGGACGAAACAGCTATCTGGTACTCCTTGGTGGTTTTCCAATGGTTCTCTAGCTGATATCAACTCGTGGACAGGCCTTTGACCAATCAAATCCTTGCAAACCAACACTTGAATAATATCTACTCATCCCGCAGGACTTTTAAGTCAAATAATAATCTACAGTGTGTCGTTAGGTGATGTAACATTGTTCAATCTATAGGAAGATCCAATCCCCTACAATATATCTCTTTGATTTCCTTCGAGACGTACAGTGCACTAGATTGATAGCTAATTAAAAGTATGCAAGAGTGTGTGTTGCCATTCAAGGAGATATCTGTAGACGATTATAACAATGAGAAATACAGAAAAATTTTCAAGTATTGGTTAGAGGATTTCATCATGAGCTGACATCAGTTATAGGTAGAGTACAGCAGGCTGGAGGTGAGGCAGTAACTCATCGAAAAAGACATTGCTAAGTGGTCGCGCTATGTCGTGAATTGGCTGGCAGAAGTTAGAATTCATGGGTTGGCCACTGGATCGAGTCCCAGTGGCTTAATGGTCTACAAGCTAGCTTGCCTAGTAACCAGAAGGTCTTGGGTTCGAACCCTAGTAGTGGGGTAGGTGCGTACTGTTGAAGGGTCCCAAACTAAGCTGGCGAAACAGCTGGCTGTCCAGTACTCCTTGTTGGTTTTTCCAATGGTTTTCTAATTGATGTCAGCTCATGATGAAATCCTCCAACCAATCAAACAATATCCCAACAAAACCAACACTTAAAAATACAGAAAAGATGATTTATTATACTAGATGGAAACTTATTTATTTCAAGGATTTAAGCAGACTTCCGTTCAAATAAACAAACAACTTCGTTTAATTAGACTAAGAATTAGGATCTTACTAAAATACTATTAGAAAGTCATTCAAATTTCTAGAATTTCTTAAACCAGTTCTAATTCAGAAATAATCAACTTACCTAAATCTCTTTTTATGATTATTTAAATTTTGATTATCTTCAATTTCATAATGAATCTGACACACCGTATCAATTGATGATAACTTCGACTGTCTTTTATGCGATTGTTTCAATTTCTTTTGATTTTTCAATAAAATCACAACTAATCTACGTCGATTTAAATCATCCTGATAAAAATATTCATCAATAGAATGATTTTGCATTTTATTAAATAATTTACAATTCATTTGTTCATTGTTTAATAGATGAAACTTTGTCCAAGGATTCAATGTATAGTAGATATTTTCAGCGGTTAAATAAAATCCAACATGTCCTGGAAGTACAGTTTCTATACTATCTGGTTTAGGTGGTTGATTGATCATTAATTCGGTATTCTGTTGTACATTCTGGAATATTCTATTTTTAATTTTCAGCCGGATTGGTTCACTTTTTGTTACAATTGATTGGCTTTCTTTAACCGTACTACTACTACTACTACTACTAGTAGTATACTTCATTCTTTCTAAAAATGGATTCGCCATATTTTGTTTATCTAATCTGTTAACAGTATGAAGTATGTCATTGCACAATTGGTTAAGATTGTCTATCTGACCAATATCACCAGCATCAAATATGTATAGGTCAATAGCATAATTTGAATTGCCTGCTGAATATGAACTGAATAAGATTTGTTGTAAATTAATTTGTGATTGAGTAAAGCATATTAAACTTTCATTGAACACATTGATCAACTGCCCGTCAAGTTTAAACTGCCTAGTGGACTCATCTGATATCACATAAATTATATTGTTTAAATTCGTATCTTTATCTTTAAAAGATAAGTGGTCACTTTTAATTATTGTGTCTGTATACGGTAGAACTGTTATCTCCGAGTAGTTTTCTAATTCTGGAAGAGCGTGTTTCATTTTTGTTATTGACATAGTTATTGATATTTGACCTAAATAGTCTTCTGAAGGTGATATCAGTTTAAAATCCATTGGGAAGTGTTTATCAAGAAACTTTTCGCAATCATTAGAGGCATAAAATACAATGCGATGATTTCTCACATCGTCATCAGTAAACTCTTGAATGCTGATCAATGGATTGGATGTATGAGCTAGCAGTCCACACGTGGAAAGAGTAGACAGATTTGATTGAAGTATGATTTTGATTTGATTCGCTCTGACTTTATCCAGCTGAAGATCTTTGTATTGTAGAAATGTGAAACTGTTCAATGGAGCTGTTAAAATGATTGAATTGAGCAATTCTACTTCCATGTCTGAGGCGTCATTTTGATGCATTTGGTTCCCTTCTCTTTCATCTAAAATAGATAGAGGAAATTTTTAATATATTTGTGAACTACTTATAAGTAGACAAAAGTATTTTAGAAATATTTCATTGGAACTTCATTTGTGAATTTGCTAACTACTGCTTAGATCTATTTCAAACGAGATTACAAGCTGATATTGTAACGGCAGGACACAAGAGTACTTGGCAACTTCTTGTACGGATATGGGAAAATATCATGCATTGAAACTACAATTTATATATGTCTCCTGAATTGTGCTTCTCTGACATCCTTTCAATTTTTCTACATTGTTTCGCAAGAATCCTTCATTTCTTCTATTCGCCATTGAATTCATCTCTCCACTACTTGATATTCTTGCAGATGATATGCATATTTGTTTGTTCACGTCTGTGTACTACTTATAAATCGTGTCAGTAGCACATGCGACAAAAGCAGTCAAGGAAGCATTGAAAACAAGGGAGTACTGGACAGCTGCTTTGTCCAAGTGTAAAAATCTGTACCAGTACGCAACCATAGTCGAAACTACGACCATCAAGTTAGGAAGCGAGACCAGTGATCAGGGACACTGCCAGTCAATGTCATCGGCGAGTACGCGTCTTCATACCTGACATGTTGGACACAGTTGATCATGACTTCTCATCAGAACTCCAGATACATCATCCTTCAGTCAGTCACCAGTCAGACGTCTAATGAAGGGTATCAGAAGGCTTTTAAAAGACCGAAAATACGCAAGACAACTGCCATTACTACACCGGACAAGGTACGCCTCAGAGACCACAAGTGATGAAAACTCTAACTGAATACGTAGAACAGGATATAACTACGTCAGTTAAAGTCGGGAAGAAGTGGGATATATCTCACAGGTAACATATAAAACCACTTCATGCTTGAAGGATTTACGAAGAATACACAGAATAAAGATTTAACTTCATCTCATTCTAAATTTGTTGCAGCCACCGTATTATGTGATCGTTAACTGACTAGTACGTTTGTTTTGACTTATGAGTGATGATTAACTGGATTGCGGGGATAAAGATACTTTATATTTTGTCATTTAAACGAAATATAAGGTGTTAGGTAAGGAGGTTGTGGAACTACATCGATTGAAATGGCGCGGACACGCGTTACTCATGCCTAGCCATAGCCTTCCCCGACAAGCAATTTTATCTTAGATGGGAGCAAGGTAGAAAGGAGCTGGCGGTGGTCAAACCGAGCTTGAAGTCAATCGATGAAATCTCTGGCAATTAGTTTGGGCCAATAAGGGAAGTAAGGACTGCCTGATTGATTGGGGTCCTTGGGATTCTAAGAACCAATGACAGCTGGAGACCGATGGTGCAGATGCATTCATTCTTCGTGACCTGCCATTTAAATGAAACCCTGTTGTTTTTCCACGTTACCATTCTTCCTCCCTCGTATTTGTGTGCAGCATGGACTGAGGCAACTCAGACTACTGCAATTCTGTGCAAATTTCTATGTTAAAATCAGTTGGTCAGTCAGTCAGTCACTCAGTAACATCATGAGTTCACTCCGCTTCACGACTTCATAGCTGATGATCTGGGCCTTTAACAACAGAAACGTACATTTGGGGTTTAGGTCACTTCGATTATCTGCCCAGTAGATACTACTGGTTGATGTGAGTGGTTTTCAACTACTCATATAATAATTAGTAGTATATACAGCCATTTAATTTACTATTAAAATTTATACCGACAGTATCCATTCATAATGTAAAGAATATTTTTGCACAAAGTGGTGTAAGACAACCGTGAGCACTAGCCAGCATCAAGCAGATTCGCTTTGTCCTGCTTAAACACTTGTCAAATATGTAAATTAAAACAATTAGTCCCTTTGATAAATTTGAATAAGGCATTAAGAAGACAAATTTCGCGAGATGATATCATTTCGTAGATTACAAAGGTCCTTACGCCTGTAAGAGACTCATTATCAAATCATTCTGTAAAAAGTTCATTTGATCTGACAGATATGCTAGACACCTTGAACATTAAGGATAAGGTTATGTGTTCAATTGACACAGAATCTTTATTCACCAATGTTCCCCTTAATGAAACTGTTGATTTCATTTGCGATTACGTCACAAGCAATGGGATAAACTTACCTATTCCTGTCACTTACATCAGAGACATCATCCTAATATGTACAGAAAATATAAGATTCACCTTCCAAGAAAAGGCATACAAACAAATCGATGATGTTGCGATGGGGAGCCCTCTTGGGCCCCTGTTAGCAGATATATTCATGTCGAAATTGGAAAAACAAATGCAAGGTGTGCTTGGAGAATTTATGCTGTATAAACGTTATGCAGATGATACTCTCATTATTGGTAATAATAGTAAATCTATTGAAAACTTTATTACCCTATTTAATCATATTCATCCAAATATCCGACTGACTTCCGAACTCAAATCGAATAACAAACTCGGTTTCCTCGATATTACAATGACCAGGAGAGATGATAGAACGATTCAGCGATCTATTTTTCGTAAACAGACATGGAGTGGACAATATCTTCATTTTACCAGCTTTGTTCCTATCCAGTATAAACGTTCCCTAGTGAAATGTTTGTTCTCAAGGGCCCGAAAAATATGCACGAGTGACACATTGATGGGTGAGTTTCGAAATATGCATTCAGTTTTATTAGCTTACGGTTATCCGGAGAACTTTATCACTTGTCACAGTAAAGAAAAAGCACATCTCGAAAAGACAGCTACTGTACCAAAGAAAGCTATCTTTATTAACCTGCCATTCAAGGGCGACCAGATTATGCAGTTGACAGTTCAAAGACTTCGGTCAGCCATCAAATGCACATTCTACGCCACCGCATCTCTTTTACTCATTTACCGGACATTTTCAATCCCTGTACCTACGATTAAAGGACGAAATTCTGTGGACTCTACTTCAAACTGTATCTACAAGTTCACCTGCAGCTTTGGTGACACCTATATATGCAGAACCAACAGAATGTTCCAATGTCGTCGAAAAGAACATGTTCCACAATGGCTACTAAATCATATAGAAAATTCCGATGCCAGTAATCTGAATAGAAATCCAGCATCATCGATTGCAAAACACTTATTAATGTCAGGTCACAAAATCAATATTATTAATGACTGTTTCACAATTATTTCACATAACTCTAATTCAAGGCTGGTTATTGAAAGTGATGGAAGAACTTTGGATTATTCACATACAGCCTAAACTGTGTGTACAATAAACAATAGACTTCAATCTTCGCCTACTATGGACTACTTGATCTATTTAAATATGATTGGTCATCAGTATGTACTTTTGTTTTTTTATATAACTGAGTAATTGTCATGATCTTTATTTTATTATTGTTAACCATGTTAGTTTTTCAGCGGTTGTAAAGAAACTATGAAATGATGATATCATCTCGCGAAATTTGTCTTCTAAATGCCTTATTCAAATATATAAATCTTTTAAATATCCTGATTTCACTTAGATTATTGATTAAAAAAGTAAAAGTTTTGAATAGTTTTCCGAATCAAAAAGGGAATTCAAGCATGGACGTGGATTTTATCTTTTCTCCTTATCTTAAAACCACAAATCATATTGTTCAGAAAGAGTTATAAATTATTATACTTCAAACTGTATATGAATCTTTGAAAGAAAAAGTTAAAATAGGTCTTGCCTTATTCCAATGCTTATACTTACTTCTTTCCATATTTTCAGTTTTTAATTCTGGATATTCTAATGGACGTAAATGTTGTATATGACCAACAGGAAGGTAAGGCAGCGAAGATTGGCCTAAACCTGTATTGAGTCCATTCACTCGACGAATACGAAAACGTAGAGTAATGGGATTAGTTGTAAATTGTCCATCAGATAGACGTAGTACACATGAGTCTGTAATGTATTGTTCTTGATATGAACCTGTGTATAGATAGCTGTAAAGATAAAATAAAGAAAAATCCAAGGGGATAATAGCTTTATTTTACTAAATCACGACAGTACGAGATGGAGAGGTTTGTTTTTATAGTTTCTGAATGATGGTTCACATCGAAATATATATATATATACACTGAACATTATACCTTTTTAGAGGAAACCACGGTGGTATTTTAAAATTTCAATGTACCAGTATAGAGACTATAGAAAGACAGAAAACCTACAACGACAGGTCAGTACACACATTTCTTTGACTTTTTCACCTTTGAAATATAAACGGAACTTCGTAAAGTGTTTGGTTCAAAGAGATAGGATTATATGTTCAAATGACTGCCTCAATGAGAAGCTTAAGATTATCAGGGAATTAGTTGGAGGACTTCATCATAAGCTGACATCAGTTAGAGAACTATTAGAAAACCAGTACTAGAGCACTGGACATCTGTTTCGTTCTAGTTTGGGACTCTTCATCGGTACGCACCAACCCCCAGGGTTCGAACCAGGACCTATGCATCTCGGTGGGTGCGAAGTGATGAAGAGTCCCAAAACAGGACGAAACAGATTTCCAGTGCTCTAGTACTTGTTCTCCAATAGTTCTCTAACTGATGTCAGCTTATGATGAAATCCTCCGACCAATCAAACAAAACACTTACAAAACCAGTACTTGAAAAATCTCAGAGAATCACTTAATAAAAATGGTTGTCCAGATAAGTCCATTGAGAAAAACATGAATTAAGCACCAAAACAAGCCAGTATAGCGATGGTTCCCAAAAAGCTCCTGTTCGTAAAATTACGATTTTCTTGGTGATGACATCAGCGAAATAGTAATACAGCGCCTGAAAAATACAGTTAAAGAAGCATTCAGTGCAACAGAACTTCGCTGTCTCCTCACAACCACTCCACTTTATGTTTGAGAAATGAAGATAGACCACCTAATTTCGCTACTTCTGTGTATATCAACCAGTTTGACAGTTCCTGCAGGGCTAGTTAAATTGGGCGTTCATTTAGGCAGGTTTATCATCGTATTTCCGTAAGTCGTCCTGCATAGTTAGGCAAGTGACAAACGACATCTATTCGTAGCTCTGTTTAAGCACATCTTGTTGACAGTGAACACAAAGTTGATGTTAATACAGCATTTAAAGTTATTTATCGTATTCCAACCAATAATAAATTTGCTTTATGAGTTCATCTTCTACATACAGCTCAAGCCGTTGGGATCCACCTGCAGAAGCCAGACCTGTGTATTCAGAGGGAATTCATGCATCCACTTTTCTTATCTTGGACATTTACAAGTTATTATTACCCGAGTTACCTCGTTTTTCTGACTAATTCGTTTTTAATTGCATATTACGTAATCAACTTGAACACTAGACTATTCCTTATTTTTTCTTCTTTTCCTTCACGTTCCCCCAGTGGAACATAGGGCTTCAAGCTAGTGGCTGGAAGTTTCTGTAGCAGTAGTGTTTATTTTTACAGGATGGGGTTGCTAGCCTCATGCCCAACCTTTCCTCTTCACCAGCATTATTTCTGGCATAGCGAGGTAAAGGAGTGCGTCGGCCGGGGATCTAACCCCAGACCATGTGCATGGTCGGCGAGCGTCCTAACCGCTATGCCACCGAAGCTATTCCTTAATTACTCTTCATTTTTCCAAAATTAAGTATCATGCAATCCAATTACCGTAACCGTTTCTATCCTTTAATTGTTTTTATTAATTTTCTTGGTTGATTGTCACCCAACAGCTGACATGTTGATATTGACTAATTATTATTAACGTACTTATCCGCACTAGATTGGTAAACTTTTTGTATTGTATTAGAAATTTTATATGTAATACAGTAGAGTCAGAGATGAGGATCTAATTGAAAAGTAAATATTTCTTCACCTAATCCTTTTTGTCTTCTAAATGTCTCGATGAGGATTTCTTTTTTCTATATTTAAGGCGACATTTGTGTTTATCTAAATTTATAGGCCTTTCTGTATCCGAAGTGAATTGTTCAGATTCACTTTGGTATATTGGCACCATGAACAAATTCCGCGATGATGTCAGGATTATCTGTTTGGTGGCGGCTACCAGTACGATCCACAACACGTGAATTGCTAGTGGTCAGCTAGGCCTACCTCCTTCAAAGTGACTGAAGATGCTTCCACTAAGACTCTAACCTAATACCCATTGCTCCAAACACCAAAGCATTATCCAGTAGACCACCGGACAACGAGAGCCACCTCTTGTGGAAAGAGTATGATTTGAAATTATTTATTCATGTGTTATCATTTAACTTCTACTTGAAAGCCGCCTTAAATGATCCTTTGGTTAGACGATTTAAATTCAGCCACACAATATATTGAAAAAAAATTATGGAGATCAGCTTGAAAAACACAGTTGATGTAAATATGATAAATATATCATGGAATATGATATTTCGTGAACCATTTCCACAAAAGCTATTTTCTGATTTATTTCAATATGATCAAGTATCAGGGTAACTTCTGAGCCATTGTTTAAGACTGCGCTGTTACTGACCGCCCTTAAGCCTTTTAGCCATGGTAGTTCAGGGGTAGAATATTCGCCAGCTACGCACACTGTCTGGGTCCAATTCCCAGCCGACGAACTGCTAAGCTTTCCCTGGTTTAATACAGTTGTAAAACTTGGTCACTGTGATAGTATGCAATTCCATATTGATTTGTTTATTAGACACATCGCCCACAGGGAAACAGTATTATTTACTAGATGACAAAGTGTCGAACACAGTTTACTACTGTTCACAATCATATCACTAATTGTAGCTTCACAACTTCGAAACTTTAATTTTATAGTTTTCTTTATTCCTTCCTATTCTTCGTATAGGCAGTAAATTTTCCCTTATGTCCAAACAGTGATGACAGTAATAATAAGAACAACGACATACGTGACAAACCTGCACAGAATAACGACAACACCGACAATAAAGAATTTAAATCATCAGTAGTACTTTCATACAGAGAAGAAACCACGGAAACGACTTTACGGAGAATTCTTAACAAGGCAGGAATAAAAGTGACTGGCATTCAAACCAACCACAAAGTCAATTAGAAACAAGCTGTGTCGGTTAAAGGATAAATCCTGTGGAGCCTTCAAAATAAAACAACTTAGTTTATCCAATACACTGCTTGAATGATTGTCAGGTCAAGCACATAGGTGAAAGTAGTAGAACGGGGTCAGTCAGACTAGCGGAGCATAAAAACCTATCAGCAAAATCTAGATTGGTTGACGCGAATAAAATAGGAAATTTGGAGAATAGTTCAGCTACAGAACTCACTACATACAATGACATATAACCATACAATAGGGTGAAGGGAATATGATCGATAACGGAAGCTTTATTTATCGAGTCAACTGCGAACCAACGTGTAATAGGAATGATTCAACACCTGTCCACTCGGACATCTGGAAAATCCCATTCTACATACGACAAATAGGAAAGAATAAATAAAACTATAAAACTCAAGTTTCGAATTTGTGTGGTTATAATTGATATGATTATGAACTATAGTATTAATAATAATAATTTGCTTTATTCCAGAAACAGTACTAGTGGTACAGTGCGGAATTTTCAGCACATATCTACAATATTTGCATCTAATTTTACCGACATTTAAAATAAGTATTAAACAAACCAAAAAAATAAACCTGAAGACACCAACAGCAAAAGAAACAGGATAAACACAAAATAATTATAAATGCGAAAAAGTACCAAAGCCTACCAAAGTCTAATACAGTGTTTGTGGTGGTAGTGTGAGTAATCCTGAATAATACAAAAATTTTTAAGGTGGGGACTATGGCGTTCACAACCAATGATTGCCAGTTAATATTGTCGAAAAGTATAGAAAATAAGAAAAAAACAGCCACAAAACTAATAATTACATGATGGTTAATGACAGGACAATTTTGTAATACTCATAGTGCTAATAGAGTCGGAACCAGTGGATACACAATAGAAGGAATAGAATAAAGTACAAAAAAGTAAGCCAATGTTATTATTTTAGGTACCTAAGTATGTTTGAAGAAGGAGTTCACTACAGAAAACAAAATAAGAGAGAAATAAAAGAGCCTAAAATTATGTTGTTAATAACAAGGCAAGTCATAGGTTTCACACTTAACATTGTCTCTGTCACTTAGAACACGGGCCAAGTATGGTATCGTTGAATTCCTAGACTTGGTTGTACGAGCATAGATTATTTTATACTGATTTCTGGTTCTACCTGATGAGATACAAGGAGAGAGTTGGGAATAGAGGGGGTGTTGGGGGTCTGAGAGTATAGTTTTAGGCCATTTTTCGCATGTATTCAGATGCCTTTCAACTAATGTAGTGACGAGCTAACTGAGTTTTACACCACTAGTCCTACTGACTACCTTCAACATCCTTCTCAGGATGGTATAGTCCTTTTTCAGTAGTCCAGGAAAGACTAACGGGGAGCAGTAAAGTAGAATAGGTAAGATACAAGAGTTGACAAATTGTGAAAGTAGAGGTTGGGTGATTCCAGATTGTCTTAGTTTCTTAATGTAGTAGGTCAGGCAGAACACTTTCTTAGAAATCGTTAGGATATTAGATGTCCAAGTAAGGTGGGAAGATAGAACTAGACCGAGGTATTTAGCATTAGACTTAGTTTCAATTTTAGTCCCCTCAATGCAACAGTCTTCATGATAACTTACTAGTGTTTGTAGATCTCGTTTATGCCTAAGGGAGAAGTCAATAGTCTGGCATTTTGAGGGATTCAGCATGAGACCATTTAGTTTGGACCACTCACTGATGTCCGACAGAAAGCTATTTAATTTGAGACAGTCTGACTGAGACTTAATGGGAAACGATACAGACAGGTCATCTGCATTTTTGACGAAGTTGATTTCATCTGAGAGGGGTAAACCATGTAAGAAGAAGGAAAAGAGAAACGGAGAAAGAACAGCACCCTGAGGAACTCCAGCTTCAGTAAGCAAAGGAGAGGAAGATACACCATTATATACCGTGTACTGCATCCTATTAGAGAAGTAAGAGTGTAGCCAGTTGATAGCCCAGGGCTCAGTTTGTGTAAGGCTAAGCTTGTTTAACAATAGGCCTCTAGGTACAGAGTCGAAAGCAGATGTATAGTCAAGGAACGTACAACGTACAAACTTGGCCCCTTTGTCTAAGGAGGATACAATGTTGTGATGAAACACAGCAGCAGCGTCCAAAGTACTTTTACCCTGTTTGTAAGCAAACTGCTTTGGATCGTTTGAGAAGCTTAGAGAGGGAACAAGTTTTAGTAACGATAGTTTCTCCATTAGTTTCAAAAAAGGAGAGGTAAAGCGATAGGTCTAAACTTAGCATTAATACCAGAGCCTGACTTGGGTACAGGGATGATTTTAATATTTTTCCACAGAGAAGGTAAATTGTGTTCGAAACCTCGTCATCTAGTAAATAATACTGTTTCACTCATTGTGCTATATATCTAATAAACAAATTATCTTGGAATTACTTGCCTAGTCTACCAGTTGACAGGAATTCCGAAAAAAAGAGGTAAGGTCGACTGTGAGACTGAAGACCAGAGTCTGTAAAACAAAACAGCAGTACAATAGTTATCGAGACTTCAAAAAAACTGGAAGCTTGATGGCCTCTGTTACACTCGGAAGGCAAAAGGAATAAAAAAGCCTCAATTTTATAATTTTTTCTTTTTCACTGTAATGATTAGTAGGTTTGTGCGTATATGAGACAGTAAGTTTATTAACTGACTGAATGAGAAAAAGATTAGCTTTTGGATAAACTAGGCTCGGGATATTGTCCATCATAAAAGTAAAAACGTCTTCAGCAGAAATATTTCACAAAGATTAATGCAGCATTATTTAAAAGTTCATCTAAAGAAGATTTTACCCGGCTGTGTGTTGTTCACTTCTTGATATTCCTGAAACAAAAACGGTAATACTGTTGCATAACTACAAATCTGGTCACATACGATCGATCTGTTTGAATATTTTTTCGGAACTCTGCCGTATGAGGCAGGACTTTACTGCCGTCTACAGACTATGGTATGGTAAATCAACGTTTTCTACGCCGTCTTCCCAAAAGCGTAAGGGCAGCATATCTAGGTTATTGTTTGTATGCAGTTACACCCCTAATCGTCAATAGTAGAATTCCACCCCATAGAACCTTGAAATGGTATAAAAGACTTATACTGTAGTCCAACCTCTATTTAATCAACCTTCGTGTCGTGTGAGGGCGTGAAGGAAAATTCATTTTTGGCCAGTGTTGCTCTTTGAATTATTGCAATACGCAAACCTGACTTCCACGTCGACGTAGCAGCAATTGGTCAGAAATGACCGTAGTATGTGTGATGGTCAATTTCAGAGAAAAAATAAATAAAAAGGTAACATTAAGGTCCCTTATGCAGGATAATAGAACATCTGTTTATTATTCTCATAGCTCTAGCATTCATTTGCGAACGTTTCATCATCAGAATGAATGACTTTGTCAACACTAAAAGTTATTTTATTTATTAAAAAAAAATTATTTTGATTACAGCTTGATTCCAGAACCGTATTTTTGATACAAGTATGGAGTTTTCAACATATGATATCGGTAGCCCGAATTTTTGCAGGCCAACCACTGATATTAAGTGTTCTTCGGCAGGGGATCGAACCCCCGGACCACATGCATCGTCGGCGAGAGCTGTAACCGACGCACTCATAAATATTCACTACTAATAACACACACACCATTTAATAGATCATGACTCACTGAATACGTCCAGTTGATATCTGACGCTTTGTAAACTGATCACCACGATGTAATAATTTAATAGTTTTCGGTCCACCAATACTACCTGCAACCGACAATTGAGCCAACGCTTGTAAATCACCACCAACTTTCATCTCTTCAATATCCCAGGCTTCTTCAATTAAATCCAATGGATCTACTATTCCATCACTGTTCAGCATACGTGGTAAACGCTGGATAACTCCGTATTTTGGTGTTTCCAACAGCGTTAGTATTAAATCATCCTCTGATGTGTCCATATCTCTGATGATTAAACCACCTGGAACTAAATCAAGTCGACTCCATTTTTGACCATCTAGTATAATTCCATCATCAGCATTACCATTGTCTGTCTTCCTGTCTATATACATTTCTGGTGGATACCGATTCTCTGGTCGAATTAATACATGCGCTTGTCGTTCAACTGTATGCTTCCCATCGGACACCGTCACAGTGAATTGATCCATTGTAATGATTGATGAGGCATACTGATCACTTTTAGCATTCTTTATTAATGAAGCATTTTGTAAATAGAGTAAATTAAGCATGCCTAAGTAAGATTGAGTAATTGGATTACTGTACTGGGTTATTGTATACTTTTCACCATGTTGCCAATACACTGATAGACTTCCGTAGATTGGTAATTCAGTAAAACGTATCTGTAGCATATCTCTTGGTACATCTCTATCACTAACACTAAATAAATATGGTGTTAACACTTTTTTTGTATTTATTGGTACTGAAAAGTATTTCAGTAGTCGGACAGTCGGGATTTCATCATTTGTCGGTTGGATAGCTATTTTAATTTCGATTGTTTTCGGAGAATAATGTAGACCATCGAAAGCTTTGATACTGAATATATCTTCAATGCATTCTTGACCATTATCATGAATAGAATTCACATAATAGATTAAACCATCACGTATATTTTGCATATTAAAACTTAATATATTGTTGTTATTATTATTTTTAGTTAATTTATCGTCAATTGCTGGATCAAGGTCTAATGAATAAGTATCATCGAATTCATTGGACATTGAATCTTCTTTATTCAATGTATTATAATTGTCTTGATGATTAGATTCATCAAGTTTTTTATTTATTAATTCAATATGACCCCATTTTGGTGGATGGATAACATGTAATTGGATATCAGCTTCATTTGTATCCGGATCGGATGCGTATAAAGCATACGGAGTTATTTCAACTTTATCGCCTTCTTTCACCTTGACAACGAAAACAAAAAAACAGTATGGCGGGTTATTTAAGCAACAAATTAAGCTACACACATCATAAGTTAGATTTCATGGCAAACAGACACATTAGAGTTCGAGAAATATTAAAAGCTAGGGGGTGTTTGATAAATATTTTGTTCTAGTCTAGTACTCTTCAGTTGAATGCACCTATGAAGCCTATAGGGATTGAACCTGGAGAATTCAGGTTTCAAAGTGAGTTCGTTGATCGTTCTGTCATTGATACTAAATCCCATAGTCTTCCTTATGTAAGTGTAGAACTTGGGCACTGTGATAAAATGTAATTCCATACTAGATAATTTTTATTGGTCATAATCATGTCGATCTAGTCATATAGCTTCATAATTTGTTTTACATTATACTTCTCTTTCTCTTACCTCCTTGTTTTTTGTTGTCCTTTCACATAACTCCGGTATAAGCGTTGCATCATTCCGATTGCAAGTGTACGGTGTTAAATCCACAGACAGAATTCAGTGATTAAATTTTTCTGATTGGTTGGAGAATTTCATCATGAGCTGACATCAGTCAGGGAACCATTGGAAAACCAGCTCTGGGGTACTGGACAGACGAAACTCTTCAGCAGCACTCACCCACTAGGGCTATAACCCAGGAAGAAACAGCTGTTCACTACTCCAGTGCTGGTTTTCCAATGGTTCTCTAACTGATGTCAGCTCATGACGAAATCCTCCAACCGATCAAACCTGAATCCCTACAAAACCAATACTTGAAAATTAATCTTCCTCTCTACTTAGCTATATTACTTTTTAATACTGTCACCCTGATCCAATCACCCTATGGTTGTGTGATTACATGCAAGTGAATGCAGTGCAATGGTTGAGCATTTTTCTGGATTATTTAACTTAGCAGGGTCACAATTTGTCAACTTTTTGTATCTTACCTATTCTACTTTACTGCTCCCCGTTAGTCTTTCCTGGGCTACTGAAAAAGGACTATACCATCCTGAGAAGGATGTTGAAGGTAGTTAGTAGGACTAGTGGTGTAAAACTCAGTCAGCTCGTCACTACATTAGTTGAAAGGCATCTGAATACATGCGAAAAATGGTCTAAAACCATACTCTCAGACCCCCAACACCCATTCTATTCCCAACTTTCGCCTTGTATCTCATCAGGTAGAACCAGAAATCAGTATAAAATAATCTATGCTCGTACAACCAAGTCTAGGAATTCAACGATACCATACTTGGCCCGTGTTCTAAGTGACAGACACAATGTTAAGCGCGAAACCTATGACTTGCTTTGTTGTTAACAACATAATTTTAGGCTCTTTTTATTTCTCTCTTATTTTGTTTTCTGTAGTGAACTCCTTCTCAAACATACTTAGCTACCTAAAATATTAACATTGGCTTCCTTTGTTGTACTTTACTATATTCCTTCTTTTGTGTATTTACTGGTTCCGACTATATTAGCATTATGAGTAGTAAAAATTGTCCTGCCATTAACCATCATGTAATTATTAGTTTTGTGGTTGTTGCTTTTTGTTCGGAAATATTAACTGACAATCTTGGTTGTGAAAGCCAATATCACCATCTTAAAATTTTGTATTATGCAGGGTTACTCACACTACCACCACAAATACCGCATTAGAGCTGATAAAAAAACAACCCTGAAATGTTATTTTAAGATTGTTTAGAGTTGTTTCAACCAAATTAACTGACCATCTTCGAGATAAACATTCTTAAATATCATTTCATAACTTCTTGTATGACTATAGCTTTACTGTCACCATGCATAATCATATCATAGCTTCCATTACCCAATACTGAGATATTATTATATGCTGTTTATTTTCCTTTCTACTTCTTGGTATTTTTTCACATTTTTTAAAATTAATTTTGTGTTTGTTTTTGGTGTTGTTGTCTACATATTTATTTATTTTTTTGAAATACTCCCTTTAAATGTTTGATAAAATTAGATGCAAATATTGTAGATATGTGCCGAAAATTCCACACTGTACCACTAGTACTGTTTCTGGAATAAAGCAAATTATTATTGTTATTATTATTATCATTCTGGGTCTAGCTTAATTTCTATGTTCCAGTTATCTGGTTGACCCCGATCTATTTGTTTTACCTATGTTACCGGCATCACAATCATTACACGGTATCTGATAATTTATATCATTTTTTAAATTGGATCTATCTGGTCAATAAGCCGAAAAAGTTTATCTCTGAGTGCGTTGGTTAGTTGGTTTAAATGCCAACCTGACTAATTCCAGCGTCATTGAGAATTCTGCGTAAGGCCTCTGACATTCCTTCTTTATACGGCAGTACTACATAGGCTTTGGATTCTATACTATTTTTGTCATTTTTATCATTTCCAGTACTACTCTTATTTTCATTGTAGGTCTTCATACATTTCTGAACGAATTCTGTCGGTTAGTTATTCACTATAGCTTTCTAACTGATGTCGGTTCGGGGTGAAATCAAATACCTGGGATTCTAGCGGGAAGCTGTGACCAGTAGGTACAGCAGGTTGAAGGTGAGGTAGCAACTCATCGAAGAAGACATTGCAAAGTGTTCGCGCTATGTCATGAATTAGCTGGCAGAAGTTAGAATTCATGGGCTGGCCATTCGTTCGGGTCCCAGTGACTTAATGGTATACGAGCTAACTCGCCTTGTAACCGGAAGGTGCTAGCTTCGAACCCTGGGGGTTGGTGAGTACCGATGAAGAGCCACAAACTAGGCTGACGAAACAACTGGCTGTCCAGTACTCCCAGATGGTTTTCTTGAGGTTCTTCTACCGATGTCAGCTCATGATGAAATCCTCCAACCAAATCCATCCCTACTTACCAAGCACTTGAAAATTATGCAAAATTTCCAGTTATATTTTGGAGAAAAAAAGTACATCTTAAAGAATTTAGACAGATAGAAAAGAAAATATTTGTTTGATAGCACTGTGATGTAAATTCCGGCTCGTTAGACGATATAAGACATTTTGACTAAATGTATATGGCGCCAGAGGTAGCATTTTGATAAACTGTCAAGTCAATTCAAAAGTGCCCTTTTAACTTCAAACAGTTGCACTACTGATTTCGTTTATTAAACAATATGAGCTGTCTGCAAATTAATCATAGGTTTATGCTTTCAGAGTGTCGAGTGTTTTACATTTGTGTTTAAACACACATTGAGGCATCTTTGTGTGTGTGTGCGTATGTATGACTGTTTATAAATTAGTGTTCGCCATTATCTTTCGAAAACAAACTAGCTATTTTAAAGGACTAATTTATGAAAAAACACTTCCACTGCAAACTTTTGTCAACAGTTGTCTTCGCTAACGCCACACTGAAGAAAATGGAGATGGATCGAGGACATACTGAGAAGAGACCATTTGGTGACATCGTATGCCAACCAACCCGATTGGGAAACGGCAAGCTAGGCCAAGGTCAGATGGTGACATGGAGGGGATCGTGTAAGAAGGAGATGAGAGAGACAACGGTCAAGCGTGAGGCCAGCTAAGAGGACTACAAAGAACAGGAGAAAGTGGAGATGTGGTTTCGAATCCCTGTGTTCCACTTTGAACCCAAGGGAAGAATAATAATTTGAAATCTAGTTTCTGTAGGTAATTCTTGTTAATTGACGTCAAGCAGAAGTGAAAATTATGTGTAAATTTCTCCCTCTATCAATGTGTCACGATACGTGCATGTTGTAAAAAGCGAATAAAGAGAGAGTACTTTCACTAAATGTCAAAGTTATATCCTTTTTTACCATCCAAATCGAAATGCACCATTAAAAGTTGAAAACTGCTCAATACTTGGCTTATACTACTTTTTACGAGTTGATCACGGATTGATATCAGTTAGAGAACCATTGAAAACCAGTACTGGAGTACTGGACAACCAGCTGTTTCATCCTAGTTTGAGGGTCATCGGAAGTACCCACCCAACATCGAGGTTCGAACCCAGGACCTTCCAGTTACAAGTCAAGCTGGCTCGTATACCATTCAGCTACTGGGACCTGACCAGATTCAATGGCCAGCACATGAATTCTAACTTCTACCAATTCGTGATGTATTTAGCGTGACTGGCACCAACCAATGTCATCAGTGGGAAATCCATCCTCACACTTGACTGGTTGAACCTCACTGGTCACGACTTCTCACTAGAACTCACTACAGGAAACTCCCTCCTTACAAGCCAACTATAGAAAATTAATCTGATGCTCTCTAGTGACTTGCTACAGGATGGAGTTTCCTGGAGTTCTAGTGAGAAGTTGTGACCAGTGAGGTCCATCCAAATGTCATGTGTGAGGATGGATGTCCCACCTATGACAATCGTTGGGGTCGCGCTAAATCATGAATTGGTAGAAGTTAGAATTCATGGGCTCGCCACTGAATCTGGTCAGGTCCCAGTAGCTGAATGGTATACTAGCCAGCTTGACTTGTAACTGGAAGGTCCTGGGTTCGAACCCTGGCAGTGGATGCGTACTGTGGATGATTCCCAAACTAGGATGAAACAGCTGTCCAATACTCCCTTGTTTTCAGTGATTCTCTAACTGATATCAGTCCGTGATCAACTAGTAAAAACAAAACTAACCCTTACAAACCAAACTATGGAAAATTATACTACTTTATTTAATATTTATTTTATTATTATTCCCTTGGGTTCCGAGTGGAACATAGGGCTTCAAAAACACCTCTCCACTTTATTCTTTTTTCTGCCATCCTCTTCAGCTTACCCCACGATTGCCCATAATCTTTCATCTTCTCCAATTTGCCACGCGATATCCTCCAAATCACCCTCGCACTGACGACCCACTCGTCGCTTCCTATCTGGATTCCACTCGAGCAATGGCCTGGTGCGTTGTCATTCAACGGTTTCCTCAGTGTATGTCCAATCCATCCATCTCCATTTTATCGTACATATTTGTTGAGCGATCGGTTCCTGGTTGGTTTATTCCCACAGTTTCTTGTTATTTATTCTTTCTGACTATTTGATCATCAGTATGGAGTAGGCAGCTGGCTGTTGGAAATCCTTTTCGTAGCGTGCTGACCAAGTTTCTGACCCGTATAGAAGGACCAACCTGATATTAGTGTTGAAAATCCAAATCTTTTTCCTTGTGTTGAGTACAGAAGATTTCCAAATTGGTTTTAGGTTGATGAAGGCGTATCTTGCCTTTCCGATTCTGGCTGCCTGGCTGGCTTTGACACCTTCATGCGTTCCGACTGCCTGTGGTTGAAACCGTGTTTCCAGCCAGATAAGTGAAGGAAGTAACCTCTGTTAAATCTCTCCCGTTGATGATGATCGGTGCTGGTTGTTGCTGCTGTTGCTGTTGGTTGGTTGGTTATCTTCTGCACCTCCCTCTCCTATACTTCACCTATACTACTTTAATAACCTAAAATAAGTAGTTTACTGACTTCAGCCAAAAAAATATCCACCATTATTGTATGAAAAAACAAACAAACAACTAACTTACCTGTAGTAAAGTTTCACTTTTCAATACTGGAGGTTGACTATTCACTGGTATCAGAGTGAAATTTAAACTGAATGTTTGTCCAGCACTGAAATCCCAAATTCTTACAAAATCATAATTAACTTTTACACCAATTTCAGCTGGACCATGACGATAAGTTAAACGATTTTCTAAAATATCTTTATAAGTGAATTGTGACACTTTCGTCTTATTATTTAAAAACAGATTTCCTTTCGTTGGAAATACAATCACAAAATACTGGGGTGCTGTAGACATTCCAGATGTAATCATCGATGCATCTGTGATATCAGAGGGGAAAACTGATGGAGTGAGTATGACACTTGTATTTTCTTTCACCAATATTGTATTATTAACATATTGATGACCTTTACTTTCTTGTAATACTCTTGGTTTAATTTCAATAGATACTTGAAGTGGTGGTGATGTTTGAACACCATCAGTTACTGTCAGGATAAAATCGTCTTGTTTTACATTGTCTCCAGATTGTTGATATCTTTTTGGTTAGTAAAGAGAAAAATAGGAAAAGAAAAATGAAATTGTCTAGGAATGGTATTTAGTTATTTGAAGCCTTGATAACATTCTAAGCATTTTAGGGAGTGGAATACAATGTACGAAATGTCTGTTCTCCTATTTAACGTCAAAAGTCAACTGGCTGGTGGCGATAGATCTTCTAGAGTTATTTTGCATGGATCTGATTTGATTCAAGCTTAATCAGAGGTCAGTGTTAAGTCAGAGAACCACTGAAAACCAGGAGAGAGTAATGAACCACTGTTTCGCCTTAGTTTGGGACTCTACATCAGTACTTACCCACCAGGGTTCGAACCCAGGAACTTCTGGCTGCAAGGCAGGCCACAGATCTTGTTTTCTGCTACTACACTTTTCACAAAGTCTATTAAACATATATAAGTAACCACATACAAAATTTGTCCTGACTTAACTGCATGTATTCAGGTATCTAAAACCCTACGGAGTGGCTTGTGTTAAAATTGACAAGGTCCGCATTTAAGTCTATTCACCAGGAGGTTAAAGGGGCCGAAATATTCATTCACCTGGGATTACCTTCATTTGTATGTTTGACAGAATAACAATAATTACAGCTTTACTCTGGGCAGTGTACAGAATTTTCAGCGGAGTTTATGACACAATATTTTCTCCTCGTCCAGGAGCTTCAAATAAAGCATTAATTGACAATAGATTGTGTGATACAGTTCTATCTGATCTCAAGGGAAATTGAAGAAAGACATCTCATGGACGTCTTCCAAAAGAATGGATATCCAAGGAACTCCACATCAAAAGATATCTACCCTAAGTCAACCTACCAAATAAAAGACTTTCAAGGAGAACACAAAGAAACTCGCCTTACCATATATAGAAGATAAGGGCTAGACAACAGATCGTTTATTAAGGAAAATCAACACATATTTATAGATATTCAAGTGTTGGTTTGTCGGGATTTGATTGGTTACAGGATTTTCATCATGAGCTGACACTGGTTAGAGAACCATTGGAAAACCTGGGAGTGCTGGACAGCTGTTTCGTCCTAGTTTGGGACTCTACAGTAGTACGCACCCACCGGGATTCGAACCCAGGGCCTTCTGGTTACAAGGCGAGCTCGTATACCATATTTATGGATTTTAATGTACATCATTGTAGATTATTGTTAGTAGAAAATACAGTCTTTTGATTGGTTGTTTCTCACAGAAAGTTAACCTTGCATCTCTGTGTGGCTGTGTCAGATCACCCATATGCTAACTGTATCCGCCTACGCAAAGCCTTTGTTCTCATTCTCTCACCACTAATATTGGGGACATAAACATTGACATCAATTACTGTCTACCAACTTTGGCTGGCGGCCAGCTCTCACCACACATCTACAAAATAAGTAGTAACAACTGCGAAAAACACTACATTGGCCAAAGTGGACGTCCCCTTCGTCTTCGTATCAATGATCATACACTAGTCGTCAAAAGACATGACATTCACTCCCTCACATCACTACATACAGACAGCCACGGACATCAATTCGACTGGGACAACGTTCAAATATTAGACAGAGAAAACACCAAGAGTACTTGAAGCCTGGTATTCTAGTTAATCATCAATCAACAGACACATTGACATATACGATATTTACCAACCGAGAAGAAGGAAATCTCACACACAAGGGGTCAAAGTTCAAGTCAAGGCAACAATCAACACCAATACAAGTAGCCTAGAGGGTGTGAAAACACACGAAAACAACCGGTCACGTTCAGGATCACCCACCAGGAGAGATGACTAATGAACTCGTGGAGAAATCTAAAAGCTCACTTCATCAAATTGAAGTATGTGCTGTCTATATCACCTGATAGAGCAATGAAAGCCTCCAAAATAAACCATCCAGCTAGCTCAGAGAACATAACTACATCAAAATTTATCTGACCTAAATCGCAAACGAATCCATTTACGACATTTGGTCGGATGCTAATTGTAAAACGCTCAGGAGTAAATTTTGTGAACCAAGATCACTACTCAGAAACGCTCATCTCATGTAGTATTGGGATAAGCTGCTGTCTAGGAAAATGTTTTTTCTCAAGTTTAGTAGAAACTCGCGAATGATCGGGTTATAAACTTATTAAATACTCACTTGGGTAAATAATACCATTAGAGGTTATATTTTAATAGATTTAAACAATTTGAATAAGCAAAACTGCATGCAAAATAATGATAGGGTTGTTTTGGTAACCCAAGTTTTAAGCAGGACACCGATTTACACAGGATTGGTTCATCCTTACTAATTAGCCGATGGAAACTGATTTACGTGGAACATATCTCCCATTTATCAGGTTATATATGAGCCGTACCTAATATATGAGTGTTGACGATACTACCTAGTTACCAAGGATGAATTAAATAGAGCGAAATTTGAACCCTGGCCCCACAGCCTGTAATTTCAGTACTTTAAGGCAGTTATATTATTATTGTTCCCTTGGGTTCATAGTGGAACATAGGGCTTCAACTGCACGCCTCCACTTGTTTCTGTATTCTGCTGTACTTTTCACCTGCATCCATGTTAGTCCATACTGTTTCAACTCCTCTTCACACGATCTCCTCCATGTCACCCTTAGATGTCCCACTCGCCACTTCCCTTTCGGGTTCCACTCGAGCATTGGCCTGACACGCGATGTCACCCAATGGCCTCCTCAGTGAGTGTCCGATCCATTTCCACTTTCTCTTGCATATTTGTTGAGCGATTGGTTCTTGTTTTGTTTGTTCCCATAGTTTCTTGTTGGTGATTCTTTCCGGCCATCTAATCTTCAGTATAGAACGAAGACAGTTGTTGATAAAGGTCTGCAACAGGCTGTTAGAAATATTCTTTGTGACCCGCCAAGTTTCTGATCCGTACAGAAGAACTGACTGACTTGACGTTTGTATTGAAAATCCGAATTTTGTTGTTGTTGATGCTGAGTGACGAAGATTTCCAGATTGGTTTCAGGTTGATGAATGTGTTTCTCGCCTTCCCGATTCTCGATATGACATCCTCGTCCGTTCCGACTGCCTGTAGTTGAGACAATGCTCCCTAGGTAAGTGAAAGAAGTAACCTCTTTCAAATCCCTCCCGTTGATGGTGATTGGCACTGGATGTTGCTGCTGTTGTTGTTGTTGGTTGGTTGGTTGGTTATTTTCATAACCTCCATCTTGTCTATGTTCACCTGGAGTCCTGTCTTTGCTGCTTCTTCGACCAGTTTATCGGTTTTTGCTTGTAAGTCTTCGATTTTGTGTGACATCAAACATAAATCATCCACGCGCGAAATCCAGGTCTTCTAGGTTCTTCACGTCGGTCCAGGATATCCCTGTCTTCTGGGTTCCCACTGTCTGATGCATAATCCAGTCCACCACAATTAGGAATATCATTGGTGATAATAAGCACCCTTGTCTGACTCCTGTGTTTACTCGAAATGCCTCGCTGAGTTTTCCGTTGTGGATCACTTGACGTGTGCCGTTGTCGTACAGCTGTTGAATAAGGTTGATGAATATTTAGGGTACGCCGTAGTACTTGAGTAGTTTCCAAATTACTTCGCGGTCAATGCTGTCGAAGGCCTTCTCAAAGTCTATAAAGTTGAGGCAGTTAGCCACATCTTAATTATAATAGCTTTATTCTGGACAATGTTTGTGTAATATACATAACTCTGAGCAAAATTTGTTGCATAATATTTTCTCTCCGTCCGGAATCTTCAAATAAAATTGTGATTGACAACAGATTGCTTGATGAACTGCCATCTAACTCGAAGTGTAAACTAGTCCCTTATGAGATTCAGGTTACAGGATTTGTGGAGACTTCGGATTAATTATAGTCGTTGATTTTTGTCACGTTTTGTGGCAAAGTGAGAATTCAAGTGTCATTGAATTCTAATCAAAGAGGCTGAAATGGTCAACAACTTTGGTCTCATAACCTGAAGAACCTCAGTTTGATTACCGGGGGGGGGGCGTCGTGGGTGCTCACTGCTAAGCAGTCCTAAAATAGAATGAGACAGGTATTCAGTAGTTCCTAGTTCTCACTGATTTCTCTAGATGTTGTTGGTTCGCGACAAAAATCTAACAATTTCATGGCATTTCTTTTCTTTGTCTCTTTCGGGAAACGCATGACATTTGGTTGAAAGTTAACTAAAAAGAGTGCACGACTACAATTTGAGATCACAGAAACAGTCATCTCATGCAGTGGGTTACGCTGACACGCACAATCAGGTGGTAGGGAACATTTTAAATACTCACAAGAGTAAACAGTGCCATTAGGGATCATAGTTTTATTGGAGATTAAAATAATGTGAAGGCGAGAAATAAGATGCGATATAATGACAAAGGCTTTTGGTAGCCCATGTTTTAAGCAGGCCAATCTTTCTACTAAGTGGAACACATGAAATGAATAAGCTTAATGAGAATTTTTGGAAAAAGAAATCAATATGCGAAATGATTTATCCAATCATGATAGATAATTTCTCCTGGTGTTATAACTCAATGAACTCTCACTACATATAATAGATATATTTAGATTATGAGATTTTGCAGGAGCTTGTATTGATTTTCATTTATCTCTCGTGAAATACCAATATTGGTAAGAGAATGATCAGAGAATAAAAGTGCTGAACAGCTGTTTCATCCTATTCTGGGACTCCTCATCCGCTCATATCCACGATCCCACCAGGGATGGGATCCGGGACCTTCAAGTTACAGGGCAAGGTCACTGAATATCAGGAGAGCTCCGTGATATATGTCTACTGATAATCAATGCCATGGATGAGCATCTATTTCGTCTTTACATAAAGAACCACGTTGAAGAGCCCCGAATTCGCACGAACCAGTTGCTCAGTGCTCCATAGTTGATTCAAGGTGATAGGTATATATGTATGTATTGAGCTGAAGCTCCAGAATAATACATCATGACGTCTGATGACATAATTACAAACCTGACTGACGGAATTCAGTCAATACAAACACTAAGCGGCAGTGTTTCCAT